GATTTGTTTCAACTCAGTGACCTTTGCTCTCATTTCCTTTCTTCCTCCCCTCTGCCTGCCTGACCTCTTCCTTGAGTTCAGGCACCTGAAAGCTGCCACTGGCCTTTCACAGGTGACTCATTTGGGATCACCATTCTGATCCTGATCCGCTGCAGTGCTCCCTGAAGATGGGATCCTGCCCTTTCATCTGGCTCCCAGTGCCTAGAGGGGAATTAAAGGCTAGCCTTCTGGGGCAAAGGAATGTTTAATAAATCTGCCAGCTGCCTCATTTCCATGTAACTGATGAAATGTGAATAGATCCTATTGTTGAAGCAAATAGACCCCTCTGGTGGAAATCTACAGAACGGCCCTCTTTATGTCAATTTTGCTTCCTTCAAGGTTGAATAGACCTGTAATAAAGACTGTTTGCTTTGAGGAGTAGAAACCATAAGCCTTCCTGGGGTTCCCTGTGTTTCAGCCCTTCCAAGGCATCTTTTCCTCCTAGGCTCTGACCAACCACTGACTGCCAGGCCTAGAGATCCAATTACTTATGAATTCCTGTGTGTGTTAGATGCACTAATCACCCATGCCTTTTTTTTTTTTTTTTTTTTTTTTACTTCTAGTGATTTTCAGGAGATCCTTAAAATGAAACAACCTCTGAATGCTTCCCAATGAGGGCAGCCAGAAAGAAGTAGACAGGCCACATTCCAGTCCTCTTAGAGGATGACAAACCCTAAGGGAGGAGAGGGTCCCAGACAGTGTCACTCTGGAGGGCTGAGCTCCAGGAATTTCCAGTGGAACTTTCCAAGAGAAGCAGCTCAAAAGATTTTTAAGAGGAAAGAGGCCTGGTAATGAAGAACTTGCTCAAGGGACATGTGTCCAATCGTACTGTGTGGGTGGACTGGGGCCTGGGAGGTTGGTGAGGAGGTTGTGGCTGTGACCCAGCTGAAATGGGGCCTGGGAAAGGCAGCTAATAGTGAGGCAGAGGAAACGGATGGTACAAAGAATATTTGAAATAAAAATCAACAGCTCATGGGATGGCATGTAGAAGGAAGGCCTCGTGGCTAACAAAACCACATTAGAAACCATCATACAATGTATGATCTATTACATGGGAGAGATCAAGGTGATTTCGTGACTTTGAAAAAAATTACAGTCTTGAGTCAATAACAAAATTTGTTCTGAGAGATTTGTCTTCTGAGCATTGCTAGACAGTTCATCCTTGTGTGCACCCTGCAGAATGGATGTACACAAAGCTAGATGGTTTACCTGCCTCAGCCCTGGGCAGCGTGGTGTATACGGTCACCTGTGTGGGCCATCAGAGACTGACCATCATGCAGCACACGGCTGAATGTGCTTTTAGCTTTTAGCTCTATCACAACAGAGTGACTCAACAGGACCCAAGCAGCACCCTTACTTGCCTGCTACCCTCCAGTGCCTGTTCTCCAGGCACCAAGAGTTTAATCTCTCTTTTTAACCAAAAGGAATCAGGATTTCTTAGACAGTAGTTGATTCCATGCTTTAGGGCAGAAAAAGAAATCAAGACAGACCATGATCCTGATGTTCTAGAAAGAAATCTGGTTTCCAACGGGCAATGCTAAAAAGATAATGGAATCAAACAAAGGAGAAGGCCCCCACTTGTTGGGTTGTCCTGATTCAAGCATAAAATAATAACAATGATTGCTTAGAAAAACTGAGTTTATAAAAGGTCATGTGTTCATGACTTTGTGCTTAAAGTAAAACATAAACTAATAAAAGGGTAATTGTAATTTTAAAGGGGGTCAGTGTAATAGCAGTGCCTAAGAGTGGTTAGGCAAAAATCTGATGAGGAAAAATCCTTTTGTTTCCAGTGAGCATTTTTTATAGTAAAAAGTTCATGAGAAATAGTGTCCATAAAGTCACAAACGGCATTTCTTTGGAGGATTCAAATTATTTATTTCTCTCGGATATTAATGGCTGACTTTGAGAACTTGAGGCTGCACCTATACAACATGATGAGAAAATCCAAAGTGATTTTTGTACCAAACACTCAAATTTTCCCAGAACAAACATTAAGCAAATGTGCAAAATGTCATGACTTAGAACACTCTAATAGTTGGCCAATTCACCATGTTGCGTGTATACACAAAATTTTAAAATTGATTTTAATGAACTTTAGTTGTCACAAGAGACAGAAGACGCTACATTTTAATTGTTAGTTTAAAATATCTTAAACTTGGTATACTCCAGAGTTCACACTTCAGTTGCGTCTCTTCAGCCAAGACTGTACTGTTTTCCAAATTGAAAGGTCACGGTTTTTCTGGAAATAGGGCAGGGTTGCAAAACAGCCTTTTAATGAGCAAAACTTAATGAATCAAAAGATTAGGGATTAAACTTCCCATGATGTGTGTGGGTTCAAAGAAAGATTACACAATGAGTTTTCCGAGTTTATCCAAATTCTAAACGTGTGTAAGATTTAGGCAGAGCTAAATTCAGTTAGTGTGGCGTACTCCACCCTGTTTTAATGGCTGGCAGCTAGAAAATTCTAGGGCAATGAATACCCTGTGCTCATTAAGAATCTTGTTCCATGTAGCAGTAAGGATGCTGACAGCCAATTAAAATGCAAATACAATTAAAGTACACTTTTTTTTTTACAGAAAAAAAATCAGATCTCTAACTCTTTGAATTTATCAAACATTAAATTAAAAATATAATCCAGTTTTGCACAGACCATTTTGAGTTCTCTTTTTCTCGGGAATAGTGCAATTATGGGACTGGTGCCATCCACAACTGATCCTAGTCATAGAACTGAGAAAAACTTTCTCCACTTTACAGAGAGGGTGGAAACAGAGAGTAATGCAACTATGAAACAAACTTCACTCTCCCTAGCCCGTGCTTTCAGAAAAGGACATGACACCTTAGTGGTTCTCAAACACAGTGCACCAGAGTACCCCATGTTATTGTGATGAGCCCCTTGAAGGGGCAGATGTCCATAGCTGGCAGGACCCCTGGAGATATGCCAGTGCCATGTGTGTGCCCACATCTTACACACAGACTTACTCACCCTGCTCACGTGGCTGGTAACTATGTGTTGGCAGTGAGAATCCATAGAATTCCAGCCTGAGTGAGTTTAATTACAGGCAATGAATGAATGTGGTGGTGGAGAACATCTTTGTTGTCTCCCACAGATTCTCCGTGCCTTTGACCTTGGATATTTTCTGTTTTCATTTCTACCATTTATACTTTTTTGGGCACAAACTTTAAGGATCAAGAAGCTGATAGATTAGTGCACATTGCACCATCACCTGACTTACTATATCACTTTTGACCTTGAATGTCCCCCAAACGCTCATGTGGGCTTGATCCCTGACCATGGCACTATTAGCAAATGGTGGGACCTTTAGGTGAAGCCTATTGGAAGGAAATTAGATCATTAAGGGTGTGCCCTGAAGGGGTAAGGATCCTGGCCCCTCCTCCACCCCCCCACCCTGCCTTCCGATTTCCATTGGCTGTGAGTTGAACAGGCTTCCTCATCCTCTGTCCTGGGCTTCTGCAAAAAGGTACCATGCTGCCACGGGCCCAAAGCAACAAGACCAAGAGACCACGGACTAAAACCTCTGAAACCATGAACCAAGAGAAACTTTTCACCTTTTAAAGTTGATTATTTCAGGTATTTTGTCACAGCCATGGAAAGCTAGCTCACACCATTTCCGAATCTTTGATTACTCTTGAAACATCTTGAAAAATACAAAAGCTTCCAGGTGAAAAGATGTATATGCGTGGATGTAGAAAAAGGGACAGAGGAAATTGTACAAATTTGTTAATTTATTACAAAAGTTTCCACTCACAGAAAAACACAGGAAAACTTTTTATACTTTTTATATTTGGGGAAGGATCTGGCATCTCAGATACAAAATAATTTACACATAATCCGTACAATTTTATTTTATATAGAAATAGGTAATTATTACAACGGCTGTACAATTCACTACACTCATAATTACATAAAATCTTTTCTTTAGAAACATCTCAACATAACAAAACATACAAAAAAAGCAAAGTGCATTTTGAAAAGGAAAAATCCAATCCTCAGAATTATCATGAAAGATATGTAGGAAGATGCAGCATTCGCTCTCAGGGCCAACACGTGGTGGGGGTTCCCGGGGACTGCAGCCCCCCAGGCTGCTTGGCTTATGAATCCTCTTCCCTCCTAAGTCTTAGCGTTCTCTACAGAATTCTGGAAAATCAGCCGCAAAATTGTGCTTGACTTTGAGTCCACTTTTGTAGTTGCAATCAAGGAAGTAAACAGGAAACAGTCCAGTGTTATGTGTGGGTGGGTGGGTAGGTGGGGACAATCACCACTAGGAGGGCACTGGGTGAAGCCTCCTTAGGATCTAGGCAGAGGGTGTGAATCTGCAGCTTGGTTAATGACAACCAGCTTCGCTGACTGGTGGGCTGTTTTTGTTAATGTGGGCTCCAAATGAAGTCATGAGACCTTATTATTTTTAAAAACATAAAGTGCCTAAGTTATTTCCTCTGTGCAGCTGTGCAAATTAAAACAAAAGCAACCATTTTAAAAATAATGAAAAATAATCTCTTTCTCTCTCTCTGTCTCCCCAACAGATCTCTGACCCAGTCCTTCTCCAATGCAAAGGAAAGATGATCGGGAGAGTGAAGGCCAGCTAGGGCGCGGGTGCACCGGGCGGCGGTGCGCGCTGCGGGGATGCGCGAGGGGCACCGTCTCCGCGGGTAAACTGGGTTTCCGGGCCTCCCCGGGGCGTTCAGTTCCCGTCCCGTATGGCTGTGGAGGGCGCCCGGGAACCCTGGCGGCCAGGGGGACAAGGCCAGCGTTCCTGATCTGCGCTCCACTGTCCCCGCCGCTGCGCTCCGCTCCGGGGATGGTTACCATCCAGGAATTCTGAAATGTACGCAGGGTGCACGAAAGCCAAGGGATTAGCTCAAACCCCTTCTCCCCACCTCCCGTGGCCGCCCCCTCGTCCATTGGTTAAAGCTGATTGTGTCCCGACGCCAGGGCCAGGGCACTACCGGGGCGGCGGCTGGAGGCCCGACGACTCGGACAGCCGGCTGACCCTGCGGGGCGCGCGCGCGGGCTGCGGCTGCGCGGGGGGCGGCGGGGTGTAGCCCAGGGTCCCCGGCTGCTGGGCGTAGGTGGAGAGGAGGAGCGAGTCCGGCTGCTCACTGTGCAGAGAGGTCGATGCCTGCCACGAGAAAGGAAGGGAAAGGGGCTCAGAGCCGTCCTGTGGTTGGTCAGCCCCTCGCTGTCACTTCCTTACCCGGGGAAGGAGGTGGTGGGAAGGGATCTGGGGCTACAGATGCCGTCAGCTGCGGGACTTCCCAGAGGGGAGGGGAAGCACCCTATGCGGGGGTGGGGGGATGGGGGGTTCCGTAGGGCCCACGTGTGCCCATGACGGTCACGTGGCCTGGATGTTTTTGGATGGTGCGACCTGGGGCCACATGCAGATCTACGACAGGGCAGAATCCGCGCACACTATGTCTCATGCTGGTCCCTGCTCCCCTGACTATCCCCAAAGCCACCGTTCACCAGCATCTAATAGGAAACATGTCTCATGCTGGTCCCTGCTCCCCTAACTATCCCCAAAGCCACCGTTCACCAGCATCTAATAGGAAACATCACTGAATTGAACTTCAGAAGCTTCAGCAGGTCAAACTGACTTGGAAAGCTTCAATCTTATTTCCCACTCCTGCCTCCCAATGAATGCACTTCTCCAAGTAGCCCAGAGCGGCCTGCCTCCGGCCTTTACACCCTGCGCATGGGTCTGGTGCTTGTGCTGGGTGGTCCAGCCAAAACACAGTTCTTTCACACCTATGCCTTCATCCACCCTTTGACTGTTTCCTGGGTGCGTCAGGTTCTGTAGCAGATGCCTCAGAGTGCTCCCCCTCAAGTCCCTAGCTCCAGGAAGGCTCCCCTCCGCAGTGTTCCCACTGGGCACTAATCCAGAGCCTGCCCCCCCACTGTGCTAAGGCAGCTCCCTAGTGCACTCTGGGGCCTTAAGGGCTTCCAAGTTTCCAAGGGCAGTGAGAAGACCCAAGAGCTCTTTGCGTCTTTACCCTGTATCTTCATGCATCAAGTGCCTGCAAACCACTGCTGCTACTGCTGAAACAACCCCCCCACCATGCACCCCTGCCTTGTCACTTCACTGTTTCCTATCCACGTCATTTCTGGGTCCCAAGAACTGAAGAGATCTATCTGCAAAGCCAAAGTTGGAGTTACACCCAGTCTATGGAGGATCAGAGAGATTTGAAAATTGTACCCCCAGACGGTTCAGCAAAAAAAAGTCAAATCACACTCCAGCTCTTTAGGGACAACTCTCTTCATCTCTACCCTGTGGTCCTCAAGATGGTTCGGCCACTGCACAAGGGTCCTCTGGCTTTGAAGATGCCAAGCAAGGAAGTGTAGGCTGTCCTTGCTGAGAGGGAGCCGCCCAGGGCAGGGAGAGGGCTGGGTTAGAAGGGGTGTCCTCCCTGGGCACGTGTCAGGGAGGAGGCTGAGTCCCTGGGGAGCTCCCACGGAGCCCTCAGGCCAGTTGCGTCCACCCTCCTTCCTTCCAGTGTGTTCAACAATTACTTGAAGTAATTTTTGCCTTTTCCATATTTTTTCTATAAAGCCCCAATTCCACACAATGTTATTGTAGTTGTTAAGACATTTTGATGGATCTTTAACTAAGTGTGACTTAATTTTTGTATTTGTACAGAACTTTATAAATGCACTGAAAAGGCCAACAAAAATATTCATGTCTTTTTTTTTTTTTTTTTGGTACTGGGGATTGAATTCAGGGGCACTCAAACACTGAGCCACATCCCCAGCCCTTGCTTTTTTGTATTTTATTTAGAGACAGGGTCTCACTGAGTTGCTTAGTGCCTCGCTTTTGCTGAGGCTAGCTTTGAACTCTCGAACCTCCTGCCTCAGCCTCCCAAGCCACTGGGATTACAGGCGTGCACCACCAAAACCGGCCTCATTCATGCCTGACTTTTGCTTTAGAAAACACAAATATATCAAGATGCAAGATTATTTTTCAAAAATGGACCTTTGGTGCATATAACCGTATGAGGTATAATAGCTGATCCTTAACTTTTCATACTTCACATACATACATTTTAAAAGCTTTCCGAATTAGAAGCAATCAAATGTGGGTCTTTCTGGGACTTGCTTTGGTACCAGGGACAAATAGCCTTCAAAGCAAGGCAGGAAAAAGCTTTTCAGATGTGGAATGTGGAGCTTGGCTTCTCTCCCTAAACCCACGTGGGTCTCCCCACCCAGTGCCCACCTGTAGGTAGTGTGGCGGCTGTGGCTGGGCCTGCAGGGGAGCCGGCTGGGAGGCAGGGAAGCTGTGGGCAAGCGCTGCCTGCCCCATCAGCAGGACGGGGGTCGAGGTGCTGCTGCTGGTGGGGCGTGAGTCTGGATGCGGGAACACGGCCTGGGCCTGTGCGTACCTGTTAGTGTCACATGGAAAGGAGAAAAACAGGTTCTTGAAGAAAGTGGCATTGATATGACACTGAGAAGCATGACATCAAAAGAAAAAATAGGTAAGTGGGACTTGAACAAAACCTTGGAACATCAAAGGACACTATCAGCAGAGGGAAAAGGAACCCCCCACCCCCATGGGAGAGAGTTCTCCAAATCTGAAAAAGGATTGACACTCAGAATAAATCCAGACTCATGGATGCCCATCATCACCACCACGACCCCCACCAGCAGCCGGTACCACCTCAACAACCCCATCAGAGCAAGGACCAAGGGCTTCAGGAGACATTACCCAAAGAAGGGACACAAATGATCACTAGGTGCGTGAAAAGATGTTGAATGTCCCTTGTCAACAGGGAAAAGCAAACCAAAAGGAGCTACCCACTTCTCACCCATTTTGATGGCTATTATATTAAAAAATAAAACAAAATAACACTTGTTGGTAAGGATGTGGCAAAACTGGAACTCTGTGCACTATTGATGAGAACATAAACTAGCAGCCACTGAGGAAAATGGCATTAGGGGTCCTCAAAAAATTAACAGAACGACTGTGACTGAGCAGTTCCAATTCTGGGTATATACTTAAAATAAGTGAAACACTTGAACAGGTGTTTTCACACTTAGGCCAACATTATTCACATTAGTTAAAAGGTGGTGACAACCAATGTCCATTGACAGGTAATAGATAAAAATACATATATATCTGTGTGTTTGTAATATACCATACATATAATAGAATATTACTCAGCCTTGAAAAGGGGGGGGCATTTTGACACATGCTACAACATGAATGGCCCCGGAAGACATTATGATACGTGAAATAAGCCAGTCACCAAAGCATAAATACAGCATGAGGTACCTAGAAGAGTCAAAGTCACAGAGACAGAAAGTATGGTGGTTACCAGGGCAGAGGGAAGAGGGATGGAGTGTTATTGAAACAGCTCTGTGGACAGGCCTGATGACTGTGCAACAGTGTGACTCTAGTCGATGCCACTGAGTTATGTGTTTTAAAATGGTTTAAATAGTAAATATTTTATTATGTACATTTTACTATAATAATAATAATAAAAAAGAGGCATCGTTGATAATAGTCCCCTAACAAGGAGTGGAGAAAGGACCTTTGGGAAAGCGCTGGAAGTTTCTGGAAATTTTACAAAGACGTCTACTTTGCATTATATTTTTGCAGATGTTATTTCCCTGCATGGGGTCATTTGTAACAGACTTGGGGACCCCCAACTTGCCCTGCAGGGAGGCCTCTGTGTGCGTGAGACAGATCCTGATACTCCTTAGAGGATGTGTCGTTGGGTTGTGTCTGGAAGAGACAGTCGGGGAGATGCAGAGGGCAGAGATTATTGGTTTAACTGAAAATGGCAGATAAGGTTCCCAGAAAGGAAAAAAAAAGTCTATTATTGCTCATTTACAGCATTTTAAGCATTTCTAGAAAGTGATGAAATAAGTATCTTTCTGCTTATTTGGATCATTTAGGAAGAAGAAGCAAAATCTAAAACCAAAACCAAACCACCGGTGCCTCCCTGAGAGCAGAACAAGGAGCTGTGAAAGGTGGCTTCCTGTGTAATGCATGTCCCTCTTCACCCATGACCAACAGGAGGGCCAGAAAGTCTCAGGGTGCAGAAGATCCCAAAGAGACCCCAGACAGGACGCACAAGGTCACTTTGAAGACTCAAGAGGCCGCAGAGGCCTCTGAGAGTTGGGTGGCCTCTGACTCTGCCATACACAGTGTAGAGCCTTTGGGTTCTTTTTTGGGGGGGCGGGGGGGGGTGTGCTGGGATTGAACCCAGGGCTTTGTGCATGTGAGGCAAGCACTCTGCCACCTGAGCGATACCCCCAGCACCAGTGCAGAACCTTTGAAAACATGGCCTAACGATGAGTTGCTTCGTTGATTTAAAAAAAAAAATGAATCCTGTCCATATGGGTCCCTGAGCCCAGAAATGCTGTTACTGTCAGTGCCCTGCTCTTGGACGGCCCAGCCTGCAGAACCATGAGCTTAATGAACCTCTCTTCTCTATAAACTCCCCGGCCTGTGGTAGTCAGTGCTAGCAACAGAAAATGGATTCAGACAGGAAATGAGCAGGAGGAGGCTGGTTTCAGATGGCCACCAGGGCAGGGTCTCAGGATCCCGGGGCCTAGTGCCAGCAATACAGGCCAAGGTGCTTGTGGGACAGCCAGCAGGAGCCCGCGGGGGCCCTCAGGGAGGAGAGAGGGTACCTTCACCGGGAATGTCACCAAGCCTTTGACACCTGAAAAGAAATCCCAAAGGCACACACTGGGGAATATCAGTCATGGTTCCGTCCAGGGGCTGTTGGAAGCTTGGAGCGTGGATACAAAAGGCAGTTCGCCCAAATGGGAGGCGGTGGAAGGGAAGCGAAGAGGACGAGTCCCCATAAAGGCGTGCGCTTGGAACCTGTCTTTAGTAGGACGTTCACAGTGAGCCCGGCCAGCCTGGGAGCATGGTTTTTAAAGAGAAAGATAAATCCAGCCTGGGCCCATCCCCCAGCCTGCGGGCCCTCTGCCCCCCCCTCCAGGGCCACCTACTTGACTTGCCGACCAGTCCTGCTGACCTCGGAGGGCTGCCTGGCGTCACACGATCCAGGCATCATGGGCTGGATGGGCTGGCTCAGCAGCAGCCTTGGAGCAGAGAGAGAGACGGTGAAGGGCATCGGCACCCACTGCAGCCCCGACGGGGCGGCCCAGGGCAGCGGGCCTCTGGATCTCCTGTGGCTGACCCTCACCCCCAATCCCCTGACTGTTCTCGGCAGACCAGAGGGCAGCGGGTCACCTCCAGGGACCCCAAGCTGCTCCCTTGGCTGGGAGCAGTGCAGGAAGCCTGGCCTCGCACCTGAGCTGCCTGTCGTGGCCGAAGTCGGGGCTGGGCTGGCACTGGCTGGCGTCCTGGGAGGCGGCGGGTGCGGTCAGGCTGAGGCCCGGAGCTGCTGGGCTGCTGAACTGGGGCGTCAGGCTGCTCCCTGGACGGCTGCTGCCCGGCATCACCTGGGAACTCCGCATCGCCTTCGGGCCCTGGAGTGCCATGGCAAGGACAACACTTAGATTCAGTCATCTTTCCAGGGAACCTCCCCAGACTCGTCCTTCAGCCTCACCCTGGCCATCCCTCTGAGGTCCGACCCACCAGTGACGTACGGAACTATTTTGATTTTGTGGCCATCTTCCTCATTGGATTCCAAGTGCCTCAGGGATTCTTGGAATCCTGTGGGCCTTGGTCAGTGCCAAGTTTTCTTATCAGACAAGTAACAAACGTGCCTTGGACTGAATACTTTATCGCTTCACAAATTCTACCTCAGACACACGGAACTCCTTGCTGTTTCTCCAACTCACCAGTCCTACTCCTGCCTCAGGGCCTTTGCACATGCCGATCCCTCTGTGTGGAACACTCCTCTCACCCTCATTTGATATGCTTTATTCTCTCATCCCTCAGGTTTTTTTTTTTTTTCTGTTTGTTTGTTTAAATACTATCTTTGCAGAGAAGGCTTCCCTTCCACCTAATTAAAACCCTAGCCCATAACTCCATCTTCACCAGGGTGCCCCCATTGTCATTTGATACATTGTGATTTTTACTTAATTTTCCCCCTCCCACTTGGAAAATATTTTTGTTTTGTATGAAATAATAAATGAGAGAGGGAGTTGGCTTAGGCTTGCATTTTCTTTTCTGTCAGTTTCATTGACTGTCCAGTGAAATCGTGGTGCTTTAATTTTTAGAGCTTTAACAAAATCGTTTAATAAGGGATAGTGTGAGCCCTTCCTAAGCCTTCCCCTTTCTACCCTTCCCTTGGCTATTTCCACACATTGGTTTTCCTGATGCGATGACCCTTTGAATGGAAAGGCTGCATGTTCAACAAAGCAAATCTGGATAAGGATGGATCAAACTCTCTAAGTCAGTCACCTATCAAAAATTCTCCAAATAAGTAGCTTCTGTCCTGAGCACGTCCAGATGACTTTCTTGTCTTTATTCTTGAGATAATACAAAACTATGTAACATCGACCTAATATTAAATATTACAAGTCATCCAGCGACGACTTAAAGTGTAGAGGGCCTGGGGACAGAGGACTGGCCTGGCAGGCACGAGGCCCTGGGTTCAGTCCCCAACAGGAAAAAAAAATCACGTAGGGCGGATGTGCATAGGCCCCGTGGACACCGGGCTGCTATCTCACGTCAGGGACTTGAGCGTCCGTGATTCAGATCCACGTGGGGGTTCCTGAACCCATCCCCGGCAGAGACCGAGGGACGACGGTGCCTCTCCACCCCGCACTCTGCACCATCTGGCTAAGTTCCAGATTCTCTGTGAGACTCGGGGCTCCCTGGAGACAAGGACTCTGTAGTCCATCTTGGCTCCCCTGCGACCACAGGAGCTCAGGGACCCTCACCGGGGCACTCAGCACTTGGGGGAGACATGAAGGCCCCAGGAGAGGCAGGATCCTGCCTTCCACCTGTGACGGAAGAGGCTCAGGTGCCCTTCGTTCCATTCCACTGAAGTGCCATTGACCCACCAGTGACCTGGTCAGATGGTGAGGTCACTGGTGGGGGGTAATGAGTGGAAATGGCCTCAAGGGCAGGGCTCGGCAGGGACCGCGGGTGACGGGGAAGAGCCAGGTGCTCTGGGCAGGGACAGTTAGCAGTGGTGGCTGCTCACATGGATAGGGCTGAACGCAGAGGGCGGGGGACTAGAACAGGTGTGGAGGGACACGTGGCCATCAGTGAGTGCTTGGGATGTCCTTTTCCTCTTCTAATCCTAATTCAGTCTCAAAGCTGAAAGTTTCCACGGCGTGATGTCTCTAGGGGCCAGGGCATGGGAAAACACTACAAGTTGGACATTCAAAATGACTTAAAAGAAAAGCCCCCACCATAATCTGTTCAGAGAGGAACAGCGTGTAGGTTTGCAGTCCTCGTTGGCTGCGGGAATCGAGCACCCCCTAGACTGCGAGAGTGTCCACTATGTGGCAAGGACAGCGTGTGGACAGGGCGCATTTACCTGGGTGGATATCACACTCGACTCTCTGAGCAGGTGCTGGTTGGTGACCTGGGTTGAAGCCATCTGCCCTGAAAGTTGCTGGCTGGCCACCAGCTGGGGCTGAGACACTGCGGCCGGCCTCTGCTGCAGCTGCGGCTGCGCCTCGGGCCGCTGGGCACTGCTGAAGCTCAGGGAGACAGCCGGCTGCTGCAGGAACATCTGGGAGCCCAAGAGAAACAGCTGTGAGGTTGAGGCCCGAGAGTGTGCCTCCTCCTGTCACAGTAGGTGGTCAGATTCTTGGTGTCCCTGTTTTGGCTGGAAATAGATCGTCCACTCAGCTGATGGACAGCAGGTGCCTAGGATGCTTCTAGCATGTGAAACGCTCTGGACACCGCGGTTGAGTCGGAGAGACACTGTCCCTGCCCTCCCGAAGGTCGCCGTCCTGTGATTGGCACCTACCAGGGTGAAAGAAGTCGACATCCATAGGCTCCAGAAGCAATTTGAAGCACTTGTCTATATGCTAAGTTGGCTGATCAGTTTCTTATCGGAAGGGAGAGACACTTTGTGAATCAAATGAGCACTCTAAAGTGGTGGCAGAGGCTTGGCTAACCCCCAGCGTGGCCCCATCAAGTAGGATGGGGCCTTCTGCTGGGCCTTGGATTTCTGCAAACTGACCAGGGACAGTGACCCGTGTTGCCCTCGGGAATCTTCAACCCAGTGTCCTCCGCTGAGGTGGCAGATCTGCTCCCAGGAAGCAGGGGACCCCTCTCTTCCCAAGCAGGACAGTAAACACAGAGAGGACGACACCATAGCGAGTCCATGTGCTTTAAGACCAGGGTTCAGTTCTCTAGCCATCACGATCATCTCCATGATCATCTCAGACGTGTCAGACGTCGAGTAGGCTGTGATACGTGAGCCTGATCATTTTCATCAAAAAGGGAACTTGACCAAGTTTGTAAAGAACGTAAGTCTTCATGAGAATCTCTATTTAAAAGAGTTTGGACAGTGTACGGTTGGCCCTCCAGATCTGCAGAGCCAACCTGCCTTAGATGGAAAATATTCGGAAAAAAAACTGTATCTGTACTGAACACACACACAGGTGTTTTCCTTGTCTCAATTCCCTAAGCAACACAGTAAACAACTATATCAGGGTACACTGCATTCACGTTATAAGTCGTCTCGAGGGGATTGAGAGGTGTAGGGTCTATGCAAGCATCAAGCCATTTTACAGGAGACCCTGGAGCATCCGCAGATGTGGGTTATCTGTGGGGGTCTTGGAACCAATCCCACCAAGATGCCGTATTTGATTGAAAACAGTTGAAGTGCTTAGAAAGGTTTTACTTCTTAGGTTTTTAACTTTTCTTTGTTAGATATGTGAAATGATTGAGAGATTCCGAGAAATGAAACTTGTAAATTAATGGCTTTGGCAGATACTGCGGATTATTCACGACTTGTTGGACTTAGAAACTCGTTGAACATCAACTAAAGAGAGGGTGAGAGGATTGTTCTTTTTAGTAGGTTTGTAAGAGACATAGGATCTATAAGTTGACTCTATGTGTTTAAGAAAAACAGATTTACTAATAATTTAACCAAAGACCCTATAACCACCTCTTTTAACAAAAGCCCCTCATAGGGATCGCAGACACCGACTCGCATTATCGATGCCACAGTTGTTGACATGTGACATTCCGTATTCAGGAGGGGTTTCTCTTCCTCCCGGCATCTGGTGTGTTCCCTTCCAATCAGACTGACCCAACCACACACCCAGCACAGACTGACATGTTGACACTTCCTGAGTGAAAGGCAGGTGTAGAGCCACACCCTGTAGATGCTTGGAGGAGCCTCCTAAGACCAATTTGCTCAAATATCTCACTCACAGATGGGACCCACGGATTGGGAGACCGCCCCCTCCAACCTCTTCTTATGCTCCTTCCCCAGGTAAGAAGCCTGTAGTTTTAAAATGAGGGCTCTCTGCCACCTTAGAATCTAAGAAGAATTTCCTGGTCCCCAGCATCTCAGATCACATGTTTGAAGATCAGCATCTCCGCAGCAACAGCTACTTTAGTATACGGCCTGTTTTATGGCACACAGGGTACCTTGTTCCTCACCTCTTTGGTAAAAACCTTCTACAAAAGCTTAATTCCCATATTTTTTTTTTCTGGCAGGATACAGTTTACCTTCTGAGTAGAGTTTGAATAAACGCAAGCTTTATTTATGACAGGTTTTATAATCTAACCTAAAAGAGACATATTTGAGTTCCGGTCGCCACCCTACCATCTATTAGCAGTATGAGCATTTCATAACTTTTCAAAGCCATGGTTTCTTCATTATAAACAGGGACATCAACAGCACATTACCTTAGAAGGGATTATATAAAGTCAAAGCATATAAAGTACCCAAGACACAGTGAATGTGGAATAAATGTTAGGTCATAGCAATATAAAATGAGAGAAAAGGAGTCTTTTGCTCTTTGGACAATTTAAAGATTGTCTAATAAATGAATAAATGGAAAAATACATGAAGGAATGAATGAAGCTTTTTGCTCAAGCTGTTCCTGTTAGTGTTACATAACAGACTGCTGTGCTACTCTCAACCATCAGCCATCTATGCTCTCTGAAGGTAGAAATCCTGTTGTATTTCTGTGTCCCCATAGAGCTCCACCAAGTACTTGGTATGTAATGAGTGTCGGGTGGATAGATGATGTTGGATGATGGATGGAAAGATGGATGGATGGATGGATGGATGGATGGATGGATGGATGGATGGCTGAAAAGAACCAACCAAGGAACAAATGCCTTTTGCCACTGCTAGTGGTCTTTTTAAGCATTCATCTGAGTAGCCAGCAGAGGGCGCACGTGCTTTCCAAATGAGCCACATGCAGCTCTCCACGGATGGGAGGAGGGTGGCAGGACCTTCTAGCAGAACAGCCTGACCCACGTGACCCACGGCATGACCTCATCTAGGTGCAAACATCAGCAGCCTTAGAGGACCTTACCCTCATAACCCAGTTTAAAAAACAAACAAAAAACATACTTAGGAAGCATTGCAAGCCCACAGTCTCACTGAAAATTCTCAGCCAATGAATTAAAATAGGGAAAGAACAAGTTGGGACCAAGGTCCCTGGGTGGGGGTCCTGGTTTGCTGCTGCACACGTCGTCTATGCCTATTCTACCAAGAATAAAGTCGAATTTTATGGCTCAAGAAGATGGATTCTTAAAAGTAGGAAAAGTTGTCAGGAAAAAAAATTCTAATTTCTAAGAATAAGTAGATCCTACACTCACAAAGTGAACTTTCAGGATTCTCATCTGAGTACTTTTAATGAATGCTCATCATTACAAGACATTTCAGAAGTCCAAAAAAAAATAGAGAAAAAGTGCAATGGAAACCCATATCATAATGTGTCATCATTAGGCTTCAAAGGTGATCAATGTTTTGATCTTATTTCATCTAATTCTTCTCTTGTTTGGGGTGGGGTAGAAAATGGAGTCATTTTATGTGCTTTTTTAAAACAATTAAATCATGTTTTTTTTTTTTTTTTTTTTTTTAAAAAAACCAATGTCATATTTTGGTTAAGCATTTTGGATTATATTTCTTTAAATCTTGGGGAAAAAAACAACAAGAAGACAGACTGCTGGAGGAAATGTTCTCTCTGGTTTGGCTCTCTGTGGATTTCCATGTTCTTTGGAAAATTCCACTGCAGAGATAAGGTCAAAGCACCAAGCGCAGGAAGGATGGCCCCGAGGCTTGGTTCTACCTCATCCCTCCTAGAACTTGGGTGCTCTCTGGCGTGTGCACTTAGGGGGTTAGCAGACAGCACCCGACATGAGGAAAGTCCAGCTCTGCATCACAGGGAGTGACAGTGATAACTTCGTCGCCTGTTATTTTAAAATCTAGCTTTAGTATTGAAAAGGCAGGAAGCAGAAAAGTCCAGACACTGAGGAGGAGGCTTCTTACGCCTACGTGGCTTTCAGCAGTTTCTGGTTCGATTTCCCTGACTCCGTTAGTGTAAAATTCCACTAAAGTCACTGGAGTCGGGCAAGTTTGGAGCAACCCATCAGGCCCTGGGACCAGTGAGAAAAATATTGCAGTTGGGAAAAAATAAGCACAAAGTGGCTGTTTACTCATGTGACAACTTGATGACCCCATTTCTTTTCTATGTAACCACGGAACTCTTCCTTCCTCTAGTCAAGGTGGGGGTGACAGTACGGTCGGGGAGGGAGCAGCAGGACTCTGGGTATGCCCCAGGCTGTGGGTTGCACCTGTAGATAGGCTCAGATGCTGGGTGGTGGCTGTCCTGGTTTGGGCTTATTTATGGTGACAAGCCTGGGTAGGAGCAGGAAGGGGAGGAATGTCCAACGGTCACTCCTGGGTCCCTGTGACTTCCCAGGAGAACTCCTGAACACCCTAGAAGCCCATGGCCTAAAAGAGGCTTCTCCCGCCCACCAACACGCCACCCTGCGTTCATCTCACTGTGCTGGGCCTCGCACTGTGTCCCCCCTCCCGTCTGCCTGTCAAGGTGCAACTGAGCTGGGTGCCCAGGAGAGGGTCTGAATTGTCAGGGGTCCGAGGGCCAGTGGGAACAATCCTGCAGCCATTTTTAAGGTGTCTGTTTTGTTCTCTCTGCTTCTCTCCTAAAGGGGCTGCACATTCTCAACGCTCCCAGAGCAAACTCCAAGGTTAGCTATAAATACATTTGCAATTAATGGCTGGATCCCAGTGATGCACTTGTGAGGACAAACAGTCCTGAAACGAAGTAAAATTTGGTAGTAATCATCATCATCATCATCATCCATCCTTGAAAGAGATCCAATACATCAAGTTTTTCTTCCAAAATAACTCTCAGAATAATTCCATAAAGCGATAGCTGGGGGTCAGGCTGATGCTATCAGAATGTGCAAACCCAGGGGCTTGCAACAACTGGGGTGCCATGGAGGTGCCAGCCCCGGCTCCCTCTGCCACCCTCTCTGGCTGAATACAGACAGCCTGACTTCCCAAGTGTCCCTCCATTCCTGTGTTCATCCTCGGCTCAGGGGAAACAGATGGAGGTGCCTCTCCCTCTGCCGGCAGCCTGGGCTGGGTGCTATGAAGTGGGTGCTGGGAGCAGTAACCCAGGACCAAGGCAGGTATCCATGAGGGCGCTCGAAGGCCAGACTCATGAACGAAAATGTGGGTGGGCAGGGAAGAGAATGTGCCTGGGAGAGTGAGAGAGGACCTTGTGGGAATTTCAGGCTTGGCCTGGAGATGGGGACAGGTAAGTGGCATCTCTCCTTCTAAGTGGCCTGTGGATGTGTCCATGGGCTCCATGAGCATAGGAGGATCTGTTGGAGGCCGTGCAGAGGGGGCGTGTGGGGCCCTGTCTGCCCTGACCTGGAAGCTGAGCGCTGTGCCCAGAGCAGGGAGGACAGAGGCCGGCTTGGGCAGGGGCATCACCTGGATGTTGGAGTCCTGGACCAGGCAGAGCTGCTCCTGGATCTTGTGAAGCTCTTCCTGCTGCCACCGGATGTTGGCCTGGAGGATCCTCGTCCGCTGCTCCAGCTGGTCCTTGATGGTCTGGAACATGCTGAACTGGGCCGAGAACTTCAAGGCGGAGTCAAAAACACAACCGGATCAGAGAGTTACCTGGGCCTGGCAGACAGGTCGAGTCCCTTTCCCATCCCTGGGCCACCCTTCCCGGCATCCAGGGGCCCCSGAGGAAGTCCTTTCTTCTCATCTGTACTCTGTATGTGACACCTCCGCTGGCATTTCTGGGCCCTGTCATTACCCTCCAGGCCTGGGACCTTCCCCCATGCTCACCAGCTGCTGCACAAGTGAACCAGTCACCTGCCATATGCCCCGAGGTGACAGTGGCAGAGGGAGACCCTATACAAGGCCTTCGTGTGTGTTTTGCAAATTCCCCTCTCCCTTCCCTCGGACCCCTGAAGCCCTTCCTGGAGCCGAGGTGGGCTTTAGGAAAACCTTGCAGGTGAGCTCTGCCTGCTGTCACCTGTCCCCACACAGGGTCCTGTCCTGGGAGGAGGTCACAAGATGGGAGGAGGGGTTGATGCTCTCTGGGTGCAACGTCCACTTCTTGAGGCCCATCAGTTTGCTGGGCACAGGTTTCCTTTCCTGTGCCCTCTCCCTCCTCTTCGATCTGACCTGCCTCCTCCCTCCCTTCCTTTTTTGTTTGGAGATGGGCTGGCTTCCCCTCTGCAGCCTGCTGAGCTCGATGGCGCCCCCTGCCTCAGCATCTGGGATACAGGCACAGGCCCTGTGCAAGGCTTCCTTTTCTCTCTCTCTCTCTCCTTTCTTTGCTCTATCCTTTGACCTCCCACACATGGGGAGAACTGAGAACAGAGCAGAATGTACCAGAGGATGCAATGACGGAGGCTTCAGATCAGCAAAATGAAAACAGATAGAGCCAATGAAGAGAATCGTGGCAGGTGTGGAGTTTGCTGAGATCCCCGTGCCGGGCCATTGTCCCCACCCCTAGGCAGGCAGACCTGTGAACCCTCCACCACTTCCCCACAAACCCGGGTCGTGCTTGCTGAGGTCACAGGGCTGGGTGGGGGTAGGACCAAGCTGAGAACCGGGGTGGCCAGGCAGGGCTCAGGTTCTCTCCACTCCTGTCCCCAGCCCCCACCTCAATCACAGCGCCCTTGACATCGGACTTCACTTAAACAGAATGTTTGGCTGTTACAGGAGCTTAAAATGCCCAGGCCACCCGCAAAAAACCCCCAGCACTGTGTTGAAGCCCTCAGCTGGATTTAGAAAGAACATTCCGTTGAGCAAGCAAGCAAGCAAGCTGTATCAGCTATTTCATTTTTAAAACAAGACACAAAAGCTTCTACAGTTGGCTCTACAGGAGAGACATTCAGGGCCACCCCTTCCACCTCTAGCAGAGCCGGCTCTTGGTTGCTTAGTTGGCTTGCACCAGGAGTGGCCAGGGGACTGGACAGCGAGTAGGGAGCCAGAGCTAAGGCTAAGAAATGTTTTTTTTTTTTTTTTTTTTGCGGTGGGGGGTGGTTTACCAGGGATTGAACTCAAGGTCACTTGACCACTGAGCCACATCCCCAGCCCTATTTTTTATTTCATTTAGAGACAGGGTCTCACTGAGTTGCTTAGCGCCTCGCTTTTTGCTGAGGCTGGCTTTGAACTCTAGATCCTCCTGCCTCAGCCTCCTGAGCCTCTGGGATTACAGGCGTGTGCCACTGTAAGAAATGTTTGTTACCCTAGACTCCCAGTCATTGGTCTCTTGATATCTTCTTGACTGTGTTTTTTTTTTTTTTTGCAGTGCTGGGGGTCAAACCCAGGGTCTCGTGCATGCTGGGCACGTGTTCCACCACTGAGCCACACCCCGGGCGGGCTGCAGCCTTTGTGATGAAAGGATCTCCTCTCACTCAGAGACATTTTAGAAACACAGGGTAAGCAAAAGAGCTTTTGGGGAAACCACCAGTTGTCCAGATGATGACTCCCCCAATTTTGGATTTAATTTCCCCCTCCCCTCCCTGAGAGTGATGTCATCAGTGAAGGGAAAAAGAGAAAAACCATAGAATCTCATCATTCCCCCCCGGGGTGAGTCTGAAAATGTCCAGCTGATCTGGAAAGAGACAGTGGGGCGGGCCTCTGTCTCTGCAGATTCAACCAGCCTCAGACGGAAAAGACTCAAAAAATGTATGTGCGGAATAGGTGCAGACTAAAATCTGCCTTGTTATTATCCCCTCAACAATATGTTATGACCACTATTTATGCAGTATTCACACTGTGTCAGGATCATGAGTTGTCTAGGGATGATTTACAGTGGTCTAGGGATCATTTACGATGACAATGACATGTGTAGGTTACATGCAGATACTGTGCCATGTTATATGAGGGACTTGAACGTCCATGCATTTTGGTATCGCTGGGGGGTCCTGGGACAAATTTCCCGTGAATGCCGAGAGTGAACCGTGTTAACAAGAATGTCTTAAAGAATGCGGTTCTCATCAAGTACAGTATTCCTAACAGACCAAGAGCAGTCACTATTCAGTAAAGCGAAGTTCGATAAATGAAAGATCAATTCCTGAAGGAGCCTAAGCATACATATGTATTATAAATCCAGATGTTCTTTGACACGAAAGGTCCAGAAGTTTAAGGAATTCTCATCTCATGTGCCTTTGGATTGAAAAAGTTACTGATTTCATACCAAATGTGTCTTGGACATTGAAGAGGAAAAAAAAATCATTCTCTTTTTTGTCCAGAGAATAAATTTTAATCAGTCGACTGGATGAAGAGCTTCTGCATCATTATTCAAGCCCGCCAGCCAGCCAGCCAGCAGCGGAGGCTACCGCGTGTCTTTCTTATTCCAGGAAAGCACCAGCGGCCACTTGTGCGAGGACATGTGTCCTGAATGGTTTTCCTTAGCTGTGACAGATCCGCACCCTGACAAGTTCAAGGGTTGGCGAGCGGTTGCCTGGGACCCGGCTTGAGCTTGTGGTCAGGGTATGGGAGCAGCTAAGTGCCCCTTAAAGGAACTGAAGTCAGAGCTCTGGGCTCAGCAGAGGCTCCACTCTGCACGACCGGAGCACAACAGATATTTTCATGACTCCCCACCAAAGCACAGGCCCGGGGCCCTCTTCTCTGCTGCCCCTTGATTCTCTGGCAACGTCCTAGTTATCTTTCCAGGGCTAACTGGAATGCCACATCCTCCAGGAAGCCCGCTCAGACTTTCCTAAGCAGACACTTTTCTTACTGACTTTTTAAAATAACCTGCCGGGCGGGCCTGGGTGGTTTCTCCATTTATACCTAGGCCACCTTCTTCATAGTACGAAAAGCAAGGGCTGTGTGACAGTTGTCTCTGTGTCCCTAACACCTTGATTACAGACTGACCCAGATAATAACTGGCTGCATGCTGTTGAAATCAGGAAGGAACTACTCATAATTACTTTAAAAAAAAAATGTTAGGCTAGAGTACTGGAACCCACATGCTTTAGATCCTTTCAAAGTTCTTCCTATGACATTTGGCCTAATCCAGACCTTTCCTAGAATATAGCCAATTTGGAGTCATAAAAAAATGAAAGAAATGCACCAGCAACTCAGGAGGCCAAGGCAGGAGGATTGCAAGTTCGAGGCCAGCCTTAGCAACTTAGCAAAATCTTGTCTCAGAATAAAAAAAATAAAATAAAAAGGACTGGGGATATAGCTCAGTGGCAAAGCACCCTTGGGTTCAATTCCTAGTATAAAAGAGAGAGAGAGACAGAGGAGAGATTAACAAAGATGGTCACAAGGATGAAAAACAGAGCCGGGGACAGAGAATTGGAGAACGTCTGTGGAGAGGACAAGAATGGCAGATGATGAAGCGTCTAGCTCCACACACCCCCACGCGCACCTCGGGAAGCACATTTTCAGGCCTTGGCTGGTGCCGATGTGTGACAGACACCAACACCAACACACCCACACCGTCACACGGTCTGTCTGGAAGGCGTTCTGCCCTGTTCCAAGCACCAGATTTACCTGTGCCATGGGAGCAGGTGGGCTCTGCAGAATGGTCTGAGGCAGGAGCTGCTGCGTGAGGTCACAGGACGGCGGGGAAGGCAGAGGAGCCTGGTGAGAGAAAAGGGATTGGTTCTTGGACGCTGCTTCTGGGCTGTTCCAGGGGACAGTCCCTTGGTTGGTCGGGTTCTCCAACTTAAAGGATCTGCCGGCCCTAGGTGAACAGCAGGAAGCCAGGGCTTCTAGAAAGCATGGGCGTCTGTCCCCTGGCCACGCTGCTTCCCATACAGGGCATGTCACTTGGGCCAACCCCCTGCTGGTGCAGGGTGCAGATGACCCTGGAGCACTCAGGGTCCATGACGGCTCATCTGGGCATGTTCAGCAAGGCCATTGTCACCTACCCCTGTTTAGACCCCGTCCTGGGCTGGGCTGCCTTCTCCCCAGGTGGTCCCTTCTCAGCAGTCTCAGTGGCCCTGGGGGTAGACTTTCACCAGGGGTGGCTTCCTGCTAGGCCCTCTTTCTTTCTGTCTGACTCGAGCACAGCCCACAGCCGGGCAGACACACTGTGCCTGTCTGTAGGCAGGACCTCATCCGGGTGATGGAGATGGGGGCGGTCTCACCGGCCACCTGGAATCTTTAGAGACTCCCAGGAGGTGGACTGAGTCACATCCCTGTCCCCGATCACCCAGGGAACACGGAGAAACGAGAAATGCAAATCCCCATTCCATGGACTGACATGGCTTTTAAAAGAAAAGTAAAAAGGACTCTTCTGAAATCATCCCCAAACTGGGGACTATCAAAAGAAAAGCCCAAATCGAACCATGGGCCAGGGCCGCAGCTGGGGGCAATGACAGCAGGGGGCCTGGCTTTGAGTCCGGGTCCCATGGGATCCCAGGATGCTGGCTTGGGTTCCCCTGACTCTGTCCCGCTACTCAGCTGAGGGGGAGCAGAAGCACACTGAGGTGCCATCAGTGGCATCCTGGGCAGCTCAGGCTCTGGAAGAACAGCAGTGGCAGCTTCCTAGTGCCCAGAGAGGGCTGGAGGGACAGGAAGTGGTCCTGGTCAAGCCCCATGTTGAGAGTAAGCCTCAGCCACGCTGCTCTGGAAGAATGTCAAGGAAGATGGCCCGGTGACTCCATCTCCAAAGTCAGCGAGGGACGGGCAGAAGGTATCCACCCAGCAGCTACCCGGATGTGGCCCCTGAAGTCCCTGGACACTTTTTCCGTGCAGGAGTAGGAGTCATATGTCCCTCTCTATGAGTGAGCTGAAGCTGGGAGCTGTGACCGTTTTGGTCAGGAGGAAGGTCCCTGGGTGACTTCCAAGGTAAGGTCAGGTGGCTGTGTAGCATCTGTGTGGATCTCTAGATGCTGCCTCTTGGAATCCAGCCACCATGTTGGGAGAAGCCCCAGGTGTGGGGAGACCTGAGCCTCAAGGTTGGAGGATCACAGCTGAGCCCAGCCTTCAGCCACCCCAGGCCGAGGGCCAGACTGCCCAGTGTGAGGACCACCTAGGATGGGAATGTGCTAGGCTAGCTGGTGAGACCCCCAACACCCCAGGCAGAGAAGAGCCACCCCACCGCGCCCTTTCTGGATTCCTGACCCCTGATGCCATGAAGCTGGGTGTGGTTTGCTAGATGGCAATTGCTGGCCGGAATACTGTGTGCCGATGACTTTGCATGTGGCTGGTGTGCTTTCTAAGAGGCCATTCGTTCCCTGGCCTTCTGAAAAGGACTGGGTTTACTCACAACAGGCTTCTCCAATATTGTCACCAGCGTGAAGCGTGACTCAAAACTGGAGGGTCCTACCCCACACCCTCCCAGGTCTGGGGTGTGATCTCAGGCTTTTGAAATTTTGGGTTGGATCTTTAAAAATCCACTTGGATTTTGTATCCTATTGATAGACATCCATGTTGATTGTGTGATAAAAATGGTTCACGTTTAAATGACGTCACTTTGTACCCCCACCCGCCACCCCATACTCTCCATCTCTAAGTAAAACTGATTCCCTGGGGAAATTCAGCCTCTGGCTCTGCAGCGCCTCCACCTGGTAGCGTGCCCCTGTTGAGGCGTCTGGGTCTCACACATACCGGCATCGTGGCTGCCTGGCCGAGCCCGGGCACCAGCAGCTCTTGGGGTAGTGTGGCCGATCTTGGCAAAGCGGTGGTGCTGGCCTCTGCCATCAGCTTGGTCGGAGTGGCTGGAAAGGAGCAAGGCGTTACCTCCCCGACCTACAGACACTCAGCAGCGTCCTTAGCCGCAGAGGGGGACAGTGACCACAGGGTACACAGAGCTCGGCTGGAGCCTCTGACACAGGCTGCCTCCCACCAAGGCCCGACCTGGGGCGGGTGGAACCCCGACTTCATTCCCAGCACTGGGCCCAGCCGCTGCCAGATCCAACCCCTCACCAGAGGCACTCATGGTAACCAGGGGACCGGATGGGCATGTCCCCTGCTTTGTCTTTGCTGGGTGCTGCAGTGGAGACACCAGAGTGTAGACAGGGGACAGGGAAAAGAAGCCAGGGAGTGTCCACCGCAGGGTACCTTCTGCTTCCAACAAGGCATGGACTGCCCTGGGTCAACCAGGCCAGGGGCCCTAGGTGGGGCTCTTCCCACCCCCAGACTGGCACTCACAGGCGGGTTCAGACATGGCTGTGTGCGAGGACTTGTGGGAGCTCCTGGAGGACACCGACGGCGAGGGACTGGCGTTCAGGCCCGCGGCGCCCACGTCGAGAGCGTTAAAGTGCTGCTGGGGGTCATGGCTGGAGCCCTTGTCCTGAAACACACGCACAAAGCCCCCGTTCAGCACGGAGGAGATGGCAAGGGATGATGTCCTCAGTTCTGAATACGTGGGACAACACGGAAGCTCTAGAGTCCTGTAGCTGCCTGGGACAACACTGGGGTCAGCAGAGGCACGCGGATGTCATCTAGATGTCACTGAGAGGTGTGGCCCGTCAGCAGCATTGATGACATTTTTTCACCTTTTGTTTTGATTTTTCAGATTTTTCCCAATTGACTGAATTTTAGAAAATGCTTTGCACCCCAAATTTTGTGTTTCTAGAAGCAGACTCTAGAAACAAGGTGGCTGTCAGCACTAGATTGTTAACATAGCGAATGACAAGTGCCTTTGGGCCTTTCCAGGGTACAACCCACGCGGCCACCCACGAGCAGCTCCTCCAGCCTCAGTGACCCGGGAGCAGAGAGCACAGGCCAAGGGCCTGAGGTCTCCTGTCGTTCGGCTTCTGCCCCTTAACTGACCCTGGCTCTCAGGATGCCCCTGCCTCAAACGTCATGAGGAGAAAACAACCGTAGTGTCCAACTCTCTGAAGGACCAACTCCCCACCCTCCATGGCTTAGATGTCATAGATACATGAAAACAGGGGTTATGGTAATTTTCAAGCTCAAGAAGAAAACAGTGAATGATTCCTGTTCCTACCTGGTCATAGAAAGATGGGAATCACCAGCCCCCTCTGAGCCAAGTCAACAGGCTGGCCTGTACCCACACTCTTGCCCATAAAATCTCGTGTGTGGGTCCACGTGGCTGTTCTGTCTTTTGAGTCATGGTTCTGGTAAGAATGCACACTGTGTGTGTGTGTGTGTGTGTGTGTGTGTATGCGTGTGTGTGTGTGTGTGTGTGTATGTGTGTGTGTGTGGGTGGGTGGATGGGTGCACAATGTGTGCTTGCAAGGAGGGCTGGATGGGTTGACATGCCACCTACAGGCCTTTGTGCAGAACAGAACGACAGGATGTGGAGTGTGCTGTGGGAGCAGAGATTGTAAGGCTGTGCTGCTCAGTGATAGGGTCCCCTGCAAGGCTCCACTGAGGGTCCCCGGACCCCAGCTGGATGTGAACTGTGTGTTTCTGCTCAGCAGTGAAATGAGCCCAGGGAGAGAGAGGGAGCACCCTCACTCTGTAGTTCATGGCCATGGCCCTCACCACACCTCCCACCCAAGCACAGGAACTTACATTTTACACATGTGTCAGTCAAGGGCAGATTTGGGGAAAAGGAAAAAAAAAAAAAGGTGTATAGAAGAGTTTGAGAAGCATCGTCTTCCAGCTTTGCCTTTCAAAGGGGTTTCCTAGCTCAGCATTCAAGATCATATTTGTGTGTTCATGCATTATGTGCATTGCTAAGAGAAGACATCGTGCTGGGCTTAGGATTCCCAGAGGAATTCGGAGACAAACTTCCACCCGCATGATACACACGCATCACACCTGCTCTTGGGCTGTGATGTGTGATGTGTCCAACACCTGCCTAGTAATGGCTTAGTTCTGTTCCCTGACATGATACGTGATGTGTTATGTCACAGAGCTGGGTGACAAAGACTTCCATAAACACTGGTGTGCAGGTGAGGAGTCACCCAGCACGCACCACCATGGGGCACGCTGGCGGGGGCGGGGGCACAGAGACCCCACCTGCTCTTTGATCTCTCAGGTGATTTCTCTTTCCTCCTGACTCGGTCCCCCAGGGAGGAGGGATGCTTCTGTTGGATTAAGGCAGCGGAAGGGCTGAGCCCTGGCTGCTGCAGAGCCACCAGGGTCACTGGACGGACGCCCAGAGCTGAGCTTCATCAACTCTAAGAGGCACCCCCTACCCTTGTTTTGACACAGCTGAAATTGGGTGTATCCTTCAACGGATGAAAAGAAATCATTATTTCACAAACCGTCTGGGAGCATTTTCTCTTTCTTAGCTGGAGATTTAAAAAAAAAAAAAAAGTGGCTCTTCCAGTGGACGGTGCCTTAGCCTGGATGATGTACTTCACTCCCTCTTTCTTTCTCTTCCAATGTTTGTGCCTGCTCTGAGGAACAGGCCTCTGGTCTGCTGGCAGACAATCTCCATGTCCCTTTGCATGGTTCAAGAGGGGACCAGAGAGCTCAGGGCGGGGGAAGAAGAAAGGTCATGGGCTTCGTGGAAGGAAATGGCTTTTTCAGAGCAGAGCTCCCTGTGCAGAGCTGGGGCCTCCGTRGATATTGACTAAACCCCCAGGCACAGAAACAGAAGCCCAAGAGAGGGGTTGGCACTGCAGCTCAGTGGCAGAGTGTGCGCTTTGCATGCGTGAGGCCCTGGGTTCGATCCCCAGGGCCCCAAAGAAAAACAAAAGCATGAATGACACGGAAGTGTGTGAGGGGTCAGTCCATCCACAGGCACCCCGAGGCCTGGTGGCCACACAATGGCACTTAGGCTAAGTTAGCGACAGTGGCCTTGAATTATTCCACACCCTGAAGGAATGATGGTTTTTACTCCCCGGCTTTTTATTGGTGAGATAAATGCAAAGAGGGCTTATTATAGCCATCTGGGGACAGTGGGCAGCCACCAGCCGTGCCTGATGTCCAGTGGCTGCTTCTAACCCAGCCTGGTGAGTGACAACCTTCGGGTGTCCTGGGGTAGGTGGCTGTCCATGCATCCTCTGGAGAATGAGGACAATAACCACATTCCCTCTCAGGACTACCCCGGGGAGGGAGGCAGGGAATGAGAACATGCCTCAAAACACTTTGAACACCATGGGAGTGTAGCAAGGGTTCCATAAATACGGGTGGCTCTGTCCTTCTCATGACCATTTTAGTAGCCTCTGCCTAGCCCCTCTTCACCCCGCCCACCTGGCAGGATGCGCCTACCTTCATGGCAGAGGGGTGCAAGGCCTCGGGGGGCGGGTCTTCCAAAGCCAGCTCCTGCCTCCTCTCCACCCGGACATCCGCATAACTGCTCAGGAAAGAGAGCAGGACATTCCAGATGACAACTCCCGAACAGGGGTTCTGTTCCTGCCACCCACGCTCAGCAGGGACAGCACCCAGGGCCCCGTCTGTTCCCCTGTGAAGGGCTGAGTTTCCCTCCCTATCGAGTTTCCACTAGAGGGACTTGGATATGATGTCCCAATGCTTCGATGTGCAGGGTGTTTCTATGACTCTCTCCTTCACTCTTCTCCCCCCCCAGGAAACCTTCCAATGCAACTGTCTTTAAGAAGACATTCTCATCTGTGGGGTGCTCCTTTGCCTTTCAGCGATGAAAAGCTGTTTTCAAAACCTGTTCCGTCTGGACTGTGGCTACAGAGGGTGACAGGAAACTTTTCTGGTCATGACATTTCTCAAAAAATAAAAAAAAAAGTTTTCTCTCACACAAATACAGAATCCGCCAGACCCAGACCCCAGGCCACCAGAGGCCCATCTAGGGACGCGCTTTTTCAATTTCACAGGTAAACTGGGTCAACGCAGTGATGCCAGAGTGACCCCCCTTGGGTTGTCCCCTCCTGGCAGGCCCGGGAGGGCCTGGGGACGAGACGCCAGCCCTTGGGCCATGGGATGCTTCTCGTCTTATTTCTCCACTTACTCACTTCACTCCCTACGGTCTCTGAATGTTCCTAAGATTTGATGGACTAAAGATGGAGAGGCTGAGCCCACTCTGAAGAACAAGGTGTGGATGATGTCCAGCCTTCCCCGAGCCCTTGGAGACAGACCCAGGCTCAGCGGCAGCGGGGTTCTGGCCACGAAGTCACAAACCCCTGGCTGCTGAAGTCCCCAAGGGTGGACAGGGAATCCAAGAACGATTTTCTCAGCATGAACATAAAATAGGGTGAAATGGGAGGGAGAAAAGCTAGCGTTTCTCTATACGCACGCAGAGGGAGAGGTGGCCGAGTCTGTTTGCCTTCGTCTATCATTATTTCTATTTATGGTGGTCCCTCCAGAGCCGAGGGAATTGGTCCCAAGACCACCTGTGCCTACTAGAATCCACAGACACTCTAGTACCTTCTATAAAGTGACACAGCGTGCACACAACTTACACGTATCCTCCAGCTGTGTTTTAAAGCATCTCTGGGTTACTGACACTTTCTAATGCAATGCAAACACTATGTATACAGCTGGCATACTGTCATGATTAGGGACTGTTGAGAAGAAGAGGAAAAGTCTACATTTCAGTACGGATTGATGATTTCTGGAAGCGTTTCAATCTGTGGTTGGTTGAATCTATGGACGTAGGGTCCAGTGGATATGGAGAGGTGACTATATGACATACAGTCCTTCTACCCTTTCTTTTTTTTTTCTCAAAAGCTTCTTTTCTAAACCAGTTTAAAACTGATTTATGTTCCTAACATTTCTGGAGTGGCATGGCGGGAAGGAGACTTCCCTCCTCCAACCCTGGGAGTCGGGACCCCACCCAGGATGCATCTGCAACAAGGCGGGGGGATGGGTTGTCTTTTTTGGTGCCCTGGGTTGAGGGCTCCCTGAGGTCACCAGACACCCGCAGGGGACCTTCTCCCACTGTCAGCCTGGCTGTTCTCTGAACGCTGCCTCGGTTGCCAGCAGGGGTTTCTAGAACATTAAAAATAAAGGGAGTCTGTGTTTGAGTTATTTAGAGGCAACGTTTTAATTTTCTTCTCAAATCAGCGACACGGGAAGGCTGGGGGATGGAGAGAGACGAGGGGAAAATATGTAAGTAGGTCAGTGAAGCAGGAACTTACTAAGTAATATCCTGGCAGCCTAAAAGAGTTCATGAGGCTTGCGCAGGGGCCTGGAGGAAACTCAGAAGTCTCTGTAGTGGGAGGTGAGGGCGGCGAGGCTACCTGGGAGGTGCTAAGCTCTGGGACTTGTCCTGTTCACTGCAAGTGACAGCCACCTTGACCTTCAGACACAGGGAGTCCCTGAGGGGCTGCTGATCTGCACCAGTCATCACGGACCCCGGGGCACCCTTCCCAGGCACGGCAGGGACAAGCCCAGACCCGCCACCGCATAGTACCTGACCACCGAGTGCGTGCACACGATGAATTCGGGTTTGGAATTCCACTGGTGGTAGGTGATGTAGTAGTGGGTCTGCAGCCAAATCCACTGCTGACCTTTGGTCAGAAACCGGTAGCAGCACGATTTCCCTTTGCCAAACTGCATCACTGGGAGTAGAAAACGGATTCTGCATGTAACACACATTAACGTGAAAGCAATCTTTCCCCCGGGAGTGACGACTCAAATCCACATGACAAAAGATCATACCCGGCATTGCCGATTTCCCTGGCTGCACCGTACAATAAGTGACTCTCAGGACAATGGTAGACTCTGATACTATTTTTTCCTCCAGGGTGCCTGGATCATACCCAGGGCCTTGCACATGCTGGGCAAGGGTTCTACCACTGGGTCACACCTCCTGCTAACTCTCAGGCAATCTTAAATAATAGAAGAGGGATCCACGTACTTTTTCCAGATGCTCAAAAGCTTAAGAGAGATTTTCAAATAAGGGCAGAGGTGGACAGATTGTTAAACTGGAAGTTTAATTAAAAGGAGGCCCTGGTTTTCTTGGGGCTCATCTCCCCGCTGCAGGTGGAGCCGGTTTTGAAGCTGCGGGAGCCGAGCAGAGGAGGGAGCATCCAGACCCTGAGGGCCCTGGACACAAACCAGACCTGACGGCCAGCAACTGCTGGATGGAGTCTGTGGCTGCCAGACAGCAGTTCAGACGGACTCTACACAGTTCTAGAATCAAGAGGGTCTGGTATGGGTGTCTCCACCCCAGGCCGTCCCCTGCAGCCACAGAGATGCCTGGAGCCCCTTTTGGTCATGTTTGTGGGAGGTCCCTTTGGGGGTGTCCAAAACACAATGGATGCTGCTGGTTTCTAATCTGTGCCAGGTAGAAGAAAGGGAGGTGGCTCAGAGGAAGAAGAACAATTTCGGTTTTATTGCCACGGGGCCTGGAATTTAGCATCTCTTAATACCAACGGTTAAGAAGAATCTTACCTAGGAAACAAAAGCTACAGACGAAGCCACTGACTTGGTGAATATGAGAGAAGCCAGCAGGGGGGGCCATGGGCTCCACAGAGAAGAACCTCTTGCTCAGGCCAGGTAGGTGACTCTTCCCTTGGCCTTTTCTCCGTTACAAGAGCCAAAAGCAGTCAGAGGTTTAAAGCAGCTCTGCTTCTCAAATTTGAATGTTTGCACAATTATCTGGGGATTTTGTGAAAGTGGATATTGTGACTCTTCAGGCCAGGGGGCAGGAGGCTGAGACACTACATGTCTAGCGCACATTACCATGTAGCTTGACCGGGGACCACACTTTGAGGAGCGTGGGGTTAAATTTTTAAAGAGGAGAGGCCGGGTGCAGTGGTGCATGCCTGTAATCCCAACGGCTCAGGAGGCTGAGACAGGAGGCTGGCAAGTTCAAAGCCAGCCTCAGCCAAAGCGAGGCACTCAGCAACTCAGTGAGACCCTGTCTCTAAATAAAATACAAAATAAGGGCTGGGGATGTGGCGCAGTGGTCGAGTGCCCCTGAGTTCAATCCCCAGTACCAAAAAAAAAAAAAAATTAAAAATGAGCCTTAAATAATAATTCCTTCTCCCCCCACCATTTCTCTTCTTAAAAAGTGGCTAAGGCTAGTTTCAAGCTTGAGCTCCTCCTGCATTATCCACCTTAGTCACTGGGATCATAGATGTGTATCGCCATACCTGGCTTTTCTTTTTAATATTTATTTTTCAGTTGTAGTTGGACACAATACCTTTATTTTATTTATTTACTTTTATGTGGTGCTGAGGATCGAACCCAGGGCCTCGCACGTGCTAGGCGAGCACTCTACCGCTGAGCCACAACCCCAGCCCTCAAGTGTTTAATTTTCGATTCCTCTTTTGAAGTGAGAACTGATCAAGCTGGTGAGCCTAGCTCTCCCACCTCAGGAGCCCTGCCCCACACGTGTGTGCCAGCGTAGTCCCCTCTTCCGTGGCAGAGGGAATTCCTGTGGTATCCTCTGCTACCTGTGACAGGGATCCTGTGATGGGAGGGGCTCTGCAGGAGGACACAGGGAATCCCTGGACCTCCTCCAGCTGCGGGGTGGGGGGGGTCCCCCTGAGCTCCAGCGCCCTGGGCACATCCCCTTCTATGCAACATTCACAGTCTACAACGTCCCACCGTTCCGTTCCTGGCTTTCCCAGCAGACCTCACCCTGCAGACGATGCTGAAATGTGCATTAGCATCTCTTAATGCAAATGGTTAAGACAGCTCTTACCTAGAAAACCCAAGTCACCCCAGGAGACGCTGACTTAGGGTGATATCTGAAGAGGACAGGTCAGCATTGCCTGGAGTTGGAGACCCACACCACTAACTGCCGACTAAAGACTAATCCATCTAGGTGGACTCCTCCATACCCCTAGCTCACTGCAGAGGAAACCAAGTCCCTGGCTTCCAAGAAGCCAGGTGACAAGCAGACTACAGAGCCCTGCGGTCCGGTCACCAAGGATCAAGTATGACGCGCCTGTGGTCAGTCTGGGCGAGGGGTACTCACAGTGTTGGTGGCACCTGGCCAGGAGCTCCAGGTCGTCGATGTGGTAGTAGTCATAGCCTGAGGTGCCCAGCACTTCAAAGGGCAGGTATCCTATGATGGGAGGGGCTCTGCAGGAGGGCACAGGGAATTCCCCATCAGAAGGACACCACACCGGCCACGCCAGTCAACACCAGCCATTCGACACGCGGGGTACGGTTTGCACATTTAGTATCCACAGGGGCCTCGTTTCTCAAGAACCAGGGGAAGACAATAGCATTGCACTGGTCAGCACCCGTTTTGCAAAATTATTTCGGTATTTAGACACTCCATTTCCTTGGCATCCTCTGGCCCAAATAATCATTAAATGTATCAGCTATTGACTCATTAAAAACAGCTATAGATGGGGCCAGCTCCATTGTATAATGAAAAACGAAAGGGCAGGGAAGTGAGATTTCTTGTTCTGAAACGGTGAATAATGTTACAAAGGAAAGAGAAAAACTGGACTCAAGGATCAAAGGGGTGTTGGAAGTGATCAGAAGAGAGGGCTCATTGCACATCTGCTTGTCTTCCTAGAAGCAGGAAGGGGGTCATCCCACAGATGCCCCAGGGTTGAGGCTTCAACCTCTGCATGAAGGGGAAGCAGGTACAGAAGGGGAAGCCCTTCCCTTGGCTGGGAACCACGTTTCCTGGAGCCAGCGAGTCTTTCTTCAAAGGATCAGGCTGGACTTGTGTCTCCCCAGGAGAACCTGGCTCATGTGAACACCACTTGAAAAGGACCCAATCCAAACACGTTTCCCTGTTCACAAACCTGTGATCCAGAAATAAAAATTTCCATTCCAAGCTATGCCTTGAAGTGAATTCCTCCAAAGGTTCATCAACTATGCACATTTCCTGTATTGGAAGAGGGGTGGGGAGGGGGGAAGAAAAGAAAAGAATGTTGCTGGGGTGCCAGATGCTCACCCTAGGTTTGCTGCAGAGAAATGCATGATGGGTAACAGAAGTTAAGATCCTCACCAGCCAGCCTCCAAGTCGGGTTGGCCTGAAACTCGTCCTCTGTAGCTAATTTCGGTATTAGCTGATACTAAATTTATTTCACAAGCTGGGGAAAAATACCTAGGAGCCAAAATGTCACACCACTCCCTTCCTATTATCTGCAAGTGTGGTAAACATGTGGGAAATGGCTTTGCATCTGAATTTGAATTACTAATTTAGCTCAACATTCGTTCCAGAGAGTGCTACCAATCTTTGGTGAGAGAATACAGAAAAAAGCCCTCAATTTTGTGACTCTCCATTCTCTCCCCTGCCTGCCCTGGGCCGTGGTGTTCGCGGTGACCAGGAAGGTGGGGAGGTGGGCGGGGCCATGGGGCAGCATCTTTGTGGGCTGAATGGCAAGTGACCGCTGCCATCAAACAAAATGCCTGGCAGGAACCCCAGGGAGGGCTTGGGACAGGGCTAGGATGGCAGGGGCGGAGGCTAGACGTTCTAAACTTGTAGATGTTTCAAAGCAGCACCTAGAAATTTAGAATGCGGTGACTCCATGGCAATTTGATTCTCTCCCATAAAGATAATGAATGAGATAGAACCAGACGCGACTCAGTGGAAACCGTTCCCCACAGTGACCTCTCTGCGGGGGACTTGCCTTTAAGAACTGCGGTGTTGCCAGGCGGACAGTGGCGATGAAGCAGACCTCCTTCCCCAGTGACACTCGGCAAGGTCTTGACAGGGCGTTGTCAAAGCCATTACAGGAGGGGCTAGGCACTGTGTAGGGGGTGGAGAGTGGGGACACACAATTAGTCTTGTCTGGTGACAGCTGTCAAATCCCACCTGGCACTTACCATAAACTTAGAGTCACTTCCTCGGGCTGTGTGTGTGTGGCTTCACGCATTTCATCCACACAAAATCCTCATGAGGTAGGTCGGTACTCCTGTTATCCCCACGGCATAGATGAGGAAACCGAGGCACTTGCTCAAAGCCAAACAGCTTACTAGAAGCAGCTGGGAGTGAGTCCTGCTGGTAACCACTGCCCACCCCCAACCTGCTGCCCTATAACCTTGCACTTTGTGTGTTGGGGAAGACCTTCGGCAACACGAGGGACAGCTTCATTCTGCAGCAAGCGTCTGGATGCTCCCCCTGGCTGCTGTGTGAAGGGTGAGATCATAGTCAGAGGATGCTCCAGATATGGATGGTCCTGGGGAGATTAGTGGTGTCTTGGATGCATGGACACCCCTTCCCTGTCCTGGCACTGGCCATTCAAGAGCTTCTGCCCTCAAACTCATGCTTGGCTTATCTTTTTAAATTGCTTATTTCAGGTATTTTGTTATAGTAATGGAAACCTGGCTCATCCCAGACGTACACGCAAAGCGCCCATGACAAATTTCTAATTCTGTAGCATTGTACAGGCAACAAAATCTGTTCCCATGTGTCCTGTGATTTATTCTCACAAGTCTGGAAAAGTATTACTGCCCTCATTTTAGAAATTGAGGCCCAGAAAGGATCTATTAATTAATGAAGGTCATTCCCACAGTGGAAAGAATGAAGCAGGGACACTACCCCCATCTCCAGACTCCAAGTCTGGGGTCTCCCAGGAAAGAGAGGGGATGCTTCTAGGCTCATGTCCACAATAGTCCTGGAACTGCGTGCCCAGGGTCCCCTGGGAGACACCACGTAGCGTCCCTGGGATCCTCCAACCCCCACTCTCAGGGGGATTGTGGAAAACTGATGGGTCTTTGGGCCAGAAAGATTCTTCTGTCTTTAGGTGGAGTTTGCTGGTTGGGGACAAGATCCTTGTTAAATAGGAGAAAGGCCGACTTGGCACACACGGGGAATTCTCAGATTCACTGTGCACCTGGTTCCCCTGGTAACTCTGGCATGGCTGCCTGGGCCCCTCTCAAATCAGCTCATTCAGAAACTCTGGGGGTGAAGCCCAGGTATGGATACACTCAAAAGTTCCACAAGTTTCTGCAGACAGGATTGAGGATCCCTAGAGCCAAGAGTCTGCACTCTCTTTACTTCTTAAAATGTGATGGGTTACAGTTAGCCCTCCATAACCAAGGGTTCCGGATCTGCCGATTCAACCATCTGTAGATGGAAAATATTTGAAAAAAAAAAAAAAGAGTTGTGTGTGTATGGCTGATGTATAGATTTCCTTCTTGTCATTTCCTAAACAATACAGCATGCGAGTATTTATACAGGTGACTTTCAGTATAAAGTGGATATGTATAAAGGTGGTATGCAAATACTAGGTCATTTTCTACAAGGGACTTGGTCATCTTTGGATTGAGTATCTTTGGGGAGGTCTTGGAATCAATGCTCCATAGATTCTGAGGGACGAATGTACAACCTGAATGTTCTAAACTTGCAGATTTAAACCTCATTATGCTTCCCAACTTAAGAACAGATAGAATATCAGAAAAAATGCATTATAAAATGAAATCTACAAAATTTTCTTTGAGATTCAGCTTTCCCGTTTTTTTCTATTTTATATATACATATGTCTCGAAATGATTTTATCCCGTATCACATGGCCTTCCGACGGCTCACACGAATAAATTCATTTTATCTAAACATAGTCTCTGAGTTCATTCACATCAATACTAATAAACGTTTCCAAACAGGGATATAAAGTGGGAAAAATAAAAAATAGTGGCCTCTCGTGAGTTTGACATCTGTCACTAGTTGGCTGAGGCTGGGGCGGATTCATTTGTAGGGCAAGCCAAGAAATGTATCCAGGGGAACGGAAACAACTCCACATAAAGGAAGGGTTCGCAGATGTGAACATCTGTGTAATGAAAGAGAGACATCTAAAAATTTCCCAGATGTGAAATACTCTCCGCTTGGATCTAAGAGACATCACCCAGCCAGATAATGACCTCATAAAATCCTCCTGACTCTTTCAGAATATCCAGACCTTCCAAGCAAGCTTCCGAGGACTTCCCAGGAATTTAAGAGGATGATGGCTCCTTCACCTGTGGCTCCATGATGCATCTTGATGGGCCCATCTTTGGTCTATTATCCCAGGGCTCTGTCAGTAAGGGTTTTCCTTCGGATTTGCTTTGAAGAGGAGAGAAGGACAGAGAAAGATCTTGGAACAGGAACGTGGGCCCAAGACCTGCTGCGTCCTGTTCCGTCTTCAGGGGGCCCAGACTCAGGCCCTGGTCATGCAGTGGACACTGTGCAGAGCTACAGTTGACCCGGCTGCCGCTCATGTGGTTTATCTGCTCTTTCATGACTTCAAAGGCTTTCAGGATAAAAATGCACTCCTAAAAGGGAAGTTCCGTTATTGCTTGTGGCCTGTGCTTGATCATCTAGATACTTTACAGATGGGACCAGAACTGGGCAACTTTATTTTTTTCCCAAACAAGTGTTTTCCCCACCCCGAATCGTAAATGTCCCAGGGCTTGATTCAGGGCGATATTAACTCAAGGATGAATGTTCTAACAGAGGCCAAGGGAAAAACCTTAGGGGAAAACCAAGGAGAGGAAGCTACTCTAAACATGTCACCAGTTGAGTTTAAAATGACTTTTTACTCCCAGCATGAGCCTTCTGGCAGGTTCCAGAGTCAACCGAGGAGCCCGCTGCTCCCTGGGACTTCACAGTCCTATTTAGCACTCAGGATAACTCTCGGGCACTTTCTATCCCAAGGTGATTTAAAGCCATTAATTAAGAATTCAATTAGTTGTTCAATTTAAGTAATAGAAAAACTGTCTCTAATTACAACTGGCTTTTCCCAAGCCTCTCCGGAGGATCAACCACTAAATATAGGTGCAGCCCTGCTTTCTCAGATCTCTGACTACTCATGATAGAAAAGTGATTCTTTCTGGCTATTTTCTTCCCTCTAGAGTCTTCTTACTCAAACTGATCTTACTTTTGCCCCCAAAGCTAAATAGATAGCTTCCCCCAAGGTAGAGCTGATCTTGCTCTCTTCTCCAGTCTGAGCAGGTGTCTTGCATACAGCGGGTGCTCAAGGTGTGCTTATGGGGTGAGACTTTCACGAGAAGACTTTCCATCTTGCATCCAGCTGAGGAAGAAACCTTTGGATCCTTGCCAGGACTTAGTGCATGGACCTTGGGATCCAAAAGATGGCTCCTCCCATAGCATGAGCTGGGGCTGTGGAAGGTGTCTGCAGAGCACTGGTTCTGGGCTCCCCTGGCCCTCAGGCTAGCTCACTGCCCTATTGAGGCACAGGCACTGGCCAGAAGGGGGCCTGGACAGGACAGCTGCTGGGAATTCCATACAGTAATCACCACTCTGGTGGAAAATCCCCAAGTGCCTCCTGTGTTCCTGCTGGGAGGGACCCCCATGTGCTGATTTGAGGTCTTCGTGTTAAACTGATCCACAGATTAGCAAGTCTGGAACCATCCATGACAGCCTCCAATTTCAGACACCCTGGAAGAGTTTTGCCTTAGGTTGATGCCCTTGAGAGCCCCAAAATAAGAGTCCCAGGTTCTCCAGAGACTCAGAATGACTAACGTCTGTTTCGTTTGGATGCACCCTAGGTTGGGTTCCAAGTCTGTCCCGTGACAAAGGTGAGCTCCCAAGTTCGTCCCGATATCCGCAGAGATATCGGCAGGAAGACTGTACGTATTGAGATTTTTTTTTTTTTTTCCAAAAGAATTTAGGAAAGAGTGAGGAGGAAGCGGAGATGATGATCGTGAACATTAGTTAACAGCAAAGGAACAGAAAGAAATGGACAAAGACGGTTGTCCCCGTTCCCCCGAGTTATGGGGTCAGTCCTCAGAACGACCTGGTAACGTCTCCAGGGATGGCCTGCTTAGAATAAAATAGTTGCAGTGGCTAGAGGAAAACACAGTAGTCCACAGGGGAAGGCACAGAGAGCTTCCTCAGTCTTCGGGGAACCAATATCCAACAAAGCCGATCGGTCCCTGGGAAGACCTGCAGTAATCAATGGATTTTGTTCAAGGAAGGAAAAAAAAAGTTCCTAAATCCCAAACTGTGCTAAACACATTTTGGACGATTGTTTTGGACTTTTGGAAGGAAAATCACTTTCTGTACATTCATGAGAAATCATCTCCCACTAACCAAGTGCTAATTTCAGACTCTTCGTTTTTCTTTTTTTTATTTATTTATTTATTTATTTATTTATTTATTTATTTATTTATTTTTTTATTGTTGGTCTGACTCTTCGTTTTTCTCTCTGCAGGTGTTTTGCTCAATGTCCTCTGAAGAGCCAGGTATGGGGGTCCTCACGGGGGCAGCAGCAGAGTGGCCCTGCCCACTTCTTGTCCTGGGCACTGCCTTCCTTGCCGGGTAATGCTTGGCTCGACTTTCCTTTCTGCTCATTCTGAGCAAGAGGAACGTGGGAGAAGGTGAGATCCATACCTAGAAGCGGGAGGTCTCCAATTCGAGGGGTTAAAAAAAAAATTTAAAGGGAGACTGTATGTCTTAACGAATTCCTCTTTTCCCTGGTGCTCATGAACTAAAATGAGTATTTTTAGGGGCCTGAGATTTAGAATGTCATTTCTAAGATACCCACTAGACGGTTGGTGTGGACAGGGACATGTTGTTTGTGTGGCCAGGAAAGTGGGCTTCCTCACAGGCCTTCGTTCCTGTGGTCCAAATGGATAGCTTGTCACATCTTTGTCACATGATGAGACGACTGGCACTAAGGCAAGCAGAAAGATGTGGTGGATAAATGTGCGGCCATTCCCCGTGGCTTCATTTTTAACATGGACCTTCTATGTCCCCGAGGGATGATGCTCTTGGGTGACAACTTGTTCTCTATCAGGATCTCCTCTCCTCGGCTGCTGAATGTGACAGCAGTGACCACTGCTGGGGAAGGACTCGAGGCTGCTTTGCTGGGTGGAGGGAACAACTCTGCTTCCTTCTCTGAGGCACCCGTGATGGACAGGTCCACACTCCATCTCTGAAGCTGTCCAAGGTCCCATCTCCATTCCCAGGGAGACCTGGTGGGCCTGCCCCTCCATCCCTCAGCTGAGACATCTCCATTAGTTCAATTCAGGGGGAAAAACAAAACACAAAAACAACCCTCTCCAAGCCCTAAAATGAGGCAGCCTCCGGAAACTTCAGGGAACACACGGATCCGTGTGTTGTCAGCTGAAACGTCCCCACTTATGCCATCTTTCCAATCTGGCGGTGTGGCTAGAGGCGAGTAGGTGAAATGAGGGCAGGGAAACTTTTATCCTCTGGTGTGCGGTTTCTGGAAAGCCCAGAGTGGAATGTTTGCTGAGGGTGACCTATTTGGAACCACACCAGCGACTTTTGAAACACGGCATTCTGGATCTCAGTCAGACGCCCATTTAGATCCCAGTCCGGGGGAGGAGCCAGGGTGCAGAGAAAGGCCGGCCTCCCTCCTGGCGTGAAGTCATCTTTCAGGAACTGGAACCTGCTTCTTGGGACCCCGGAAAGCAAAGACTGTCTTTGAAAAATCACCGAAGGCAGCCGGAGGAGGTCAGGGGCGAATGGGCACCCGCCTCCCCACCACCCCTGAGTCTAGAAACTTCCAAATGGAGAGTGTGAGCTCATTAGCAGGGGCAGAGGGGCTTTTGCCCCTCCCTCCCCCAGCACCTACTGACAGCTCATGGCCACTGGGTCCCAAGCCCAGGCCTGCAGGGGGAGACGTGGAGGGAGCCCACAGAGAGGAGCCTCTGATCCACAGATTGGAGGGTCACAGAAGCCCTTGCCGACTCGGTCTGGCCCTCTCTCTCCCCTGCTCTGGGGCCTGCACACTGCTTGATTCTTGATTTGTATTTTAATTGGATTACAATCCTGGACACAGAATTGTACGTATTAATGAGAAGCCAAGTCGTGTTCCACCCATGCACAGGATGCCCAGGGGCTCAAGTCGGGGAACACCTGTATCTGTATCGCAAACACGTATCATTTCCTAGAGGTGAGGACGTTCTCCATCCTTTCTCCTAGTGTTTTGAACAAATGGCCACCCTCCTGTGCAGCAGCACACCACAGCTGATCTCCAAACCACAACCAGCCTTCCCTGGTCCACTTTGGGCCCTTTGCCTGAGGGCCTGAGAGCTCCCTGTTTACGCTCGGACACTCTCGTCTCCATAAAGCCGGTCTAAACTCTGGTTTGCACAACAGGCTCCGGAGGGACACTGCATTCTTGGTTTTGAATTTTCTACTTTCAATGCTGTCCCTGCCATAGCAGTAACAGTAAAAAAAAAAAAAAAAAAAAGTCGCACATCATTTCTACACGTTCTTCCAGGCAAACAAACACTGTCTCAACTTGAAGTGAAAATAAAGCCTTGCTAGTTTAAAAAAAGCCCAGGTATTCAGAATGCAGCTATTTCCTTGAAATCCTCTAAGAGGTGATAAATGACAGGGTGCGACAAAGCGATAGCTGGCAGTGTCTTCCTAAGAGGTGTGGAAATGTAAATTCACAAAGGATACAACTGCTCCTCCCCAGCCAATCACCGATGGGTTCTTTAAATAATCAGGTGTGTGCACTGTTGTCATGGGGACATGTGGGAATAGCATCCCATAATTCCCAGGTTCAGCACTCTGAGAGGTGTGGTGTCTTTCCCCTCTGTGCATCTGGTTGCTTAGGATGTGCTGCTGTTATTCTGGCTAGAGTACGTGCAGTCTTTAAAAGAAAATTGTGGCAAAATGCACATGACATACAATTATTATTATTATTATTTTTGGTGCTGGGGACTGAACCCAGGCCCTTATGCATGGTAAGTCTGTACTCTTGACCACCATCCTGTTTTTAAGTGTATGCATGTGATGGATGCACTTCTCTTAACATAATATCAAGGTTAATTCATGTTTGTGGCACAAGCCAGAACTTCCTTCATTTTTAAGGCTGAATAATATTCCATTGTAAGGATATACCACAGTTTCTTTACCCATCCATCCACTGATGGACACTGGGCTACTTCTACCTTCTGGCTATTGCATTCCTGGGTCTCAGATCTGCCTTAAGGTAATGGCTGAGAATCTGCATTTTAACTAGTTGTCTTATCCCAAGACCCACTGCACTGGCCGGGCGGATGCTGGGTTTTCTCTGTGGTGTCTCTTAAGCTGGGTTCTTTAATTGGGGAGCCCAGAAAACCACCCAGCAAGACACCATTGACTTCATTGTGTGGCTTTTAAAAACACTCATGGCATGAAGTTGGGGCAGACCTCGCAGATGAATCGGATCAGACATGGTCAGGCCTTGGCTTTGCTCAGACACCAACCGTCACTCCAACCACTTGAGTCCCTGAAGCCTTGAAGAGGTAGGTTCCCAGGGGGTCCTCCAAGTCAGCCAGGGAGCCCACTGTCCAGGCAAAACCCTGGACACTGTGCCTGAACCTCCCTCTGGCAGGATCACAATGTTCAGCACCTAGCTGAAGACTCTTTATAAAACATCTGTATTCATGCAAACAATATGCAACCAAGGATCATTCGAAGTTGGAGGAAAAGAATTTCCTGGCTAGCCCCAGCGTTAGTTAGGACTCAGTACTATCACCCTGGTTGGCGCTAACGGGACCTGGGACTGATTTGGCTGGAGTCGCAGACCTACGTGGGTTCATCGACAGACAACAGGAATTAAACCTGCAGCAGTCAGGGCTGCCCTCACCTCCGCCCTGGGTCCCTGGCTGCCCTCCCTCTCTGTTCTGCAGCTCATCACTCTTTGTTTTACTTTGGTATTTTTTCTCCTTCTGCACGTCTCTGTTTCCCTCCTTCCCTGTCAACACTTTCTCCCGTCTTTGCTGATTAATGTGATATCAGTGCTCTCAAAGTTCTCTGTTTCGTGTTGCGTTCTGAGGAGCACAGCAGACAAGATGCAGGCCTTTCTATGATCGGTCCATAATGAGATTGGGTTGCTGAATGACTGGCACCAGACCTGTATTTCCATGTTGTCTGGCTTCAAAAAGTAAAAATGAGCGTTAAGTCTAGTTTAGGGTTCACATCTCTGCAGCCAGAGTTTGGACAGTTCCTCATCCTAGGAGTCTTAGAAAATACGACTTCAGTGATGGCTTCTCCTCCTTGATAATTGACCCAGTGTAGATGGCTGGCTCCTGGTCAAATAGCCCCTTTACTGTGCATTTGGGCCGCAGGGAGCACAAGACCCGAGGACCAGATCTATTAAAGCATGCGCTCGGCAGGGCTTAAAGAGGGGACGAGAATGCAGAAAGCAAGGATCCTGATCTCCATGTCACAGTGAAGCCCTATTCTGGGGATTCTGTAGGCTGCTCTTTATTAGCTGTAAGTTGCTTTCTCACAGGGCAGAATTATTTCATCAGCTTGAAAAAATAAAGAAGCGAATTGCCTGCCATCGAAGGGGACATTGTGCACCGGCACAAACAGGTGTGGGAGTGTGTTCTGGAAAGGGAGAGAGTGCTGATGAGCCACAGGAAAGTGCATCTTGGGAACAGAAAAATTGAAATGCAAATTTGGAAAAAAAAAAAAAAAAGCACACATTTTCCCCTCTCCTCCCTCCCCCAGCGATTCTTAGGATTCTTAGGCGGTGGCTCATGTGCACGTTTGCATGACAAAAGACACTGTGGGCAATTATGGGGGACAATTAAAGCTTACCATTGTTGTAAGATCGAAAATTTCCTACAAATTTTATGTATTCATAAGTTGGAAATTCCTTTGGGTCCAGGCTGCCTCTGAGAAGATGGCAATAAAACTCTAAATCGTTGTCAGCTGGGCCGTTCAGGGAAGAAAAGAGAAAGGAAGAGGCACATTACACAGATTCCAGACTAAACAAGTGGTGTGTGTGTGAGCACTCTGAGGGGACTTGGTCCACGCGGGGCCAGCCCATTTCTGTCCTCATGACTAACTTGGGAAGGTGGCTTTCTAACCTTGGCGGCACAGGCTTCTCTTCCCATTGTTCAGAGATACTCCTCCTTCTCTACTTGGGCCCAGTTAGTCTTCATTTGCTTGCAAATGTCTGTGGTCCGTTGTGTCGGCATTGATTAGTTCCGGTTGTTTTCAGACGGTATATTAAAATCAAGCTGCTCATCTAGAGCCGCTCTCTTTAATTTAATCTTTTTTTTTTTTTTTTTTTTTTTACTTTGCTTTGCTTTGCTTTGAAGTCAAATCAGATGTACGACAGGACAAATTATTCATGGAAAATGGACTGAGGCTTGAACAAATGCGAGCCTCTTTGCTACTGTGTATATTTCACATGCTTCATTAAGTGACATGAGGTTCCCGGGCCGGGGCTTCTAGCCACGTTGCCAAGTATTTTGGTAAAAACTTTAAAATTCCATCAAAATGCAAATGGGTATAAATAACCAGATGACAGCCTGGGGAAGGCAGACTTTCGGTTTTTGACTTAACTCGTTAATTTACCAGTTGGTTATTTGATATTATACAAATTTAGCATTCTAGTGTTTCCCTAAATAAGAAGATTATTCACAGATTTTTTTTTTTGCACTGTTTATTACCGAAAGACTCTCATGTAAAAAAAAAAAATCTCGTCATACATGCAAAAACAAGTTGTTATTCTTAAGGTCTGTGCCTTCAAATTTTCCACATAAAAGCTAAATGTCTTACAGATTTCCGACTCCGGTTTTAGCTTTAAACTTAAAAATATACCTCAAAGGATCTGGAAAACGTTCTGAGTCATGAGGAAAATTATTCTTAAAATTAGCCCTCCCTTCTTAATTCGTTCTAACCTCCTTTCCAAAGTCAAATTCTTATCTTCAGACCTGGTTAAAAAAAAAACAAAAAACCAGTAAAGTGAAACTTACATTTTAGGAATTCTGGGGAGGGGGATTCCGTCACAAGCATATGGGAAGAAAGCATTTTATAAACTTCGGAATGTTCTTGTTCTGGAAGGAAATTTAACAAATTCTGATCCATGACATCCGACTGCAAAAGAAAATAAAGAACAGAGGTGCACACTCCAGGGTAGTAAGAGGCAAAATGGGGGGCTAACGCTGTGCCTGACTCCTCAGGATCAGAGTCTGAAAGGGGAAGTTTAAGATCTTATTAATTTTTATTTATTTATTTTTTTGGTACTGGGGATTGAACCCAGGGGTGCTTACCCACAGAGCCACACCCCCAGCCCTTTCTGTTTTTTATTTTCGGACAGGGTTTCATTAAGTTGCTTTGGCCTTCACTAAAATGCTGAGGCTGGCCTCAAACTTGTGATCCTTCTCCCTCAGCCTCCCGAGCCACTGGGGTTACAGGTGTGTGCCACAGTATCTGGCCCAAGATCTGATTTTCTGTGAGCACTCCCCATTCATCACTCTGTAATCCTAAATTGTGACCGAAAAGGTTTTATAGGGTCTGGGGGAAGCGCTCGGAGCTAGAGCACCTGCCCAGCATGTCCAAGGCCCTAGGTTTGATGCACAGTACCATAATTTATTTTTGAAAACTTAAAAAAATTAAAAGAAAATAAATAAAAGAACCACAATGATCCCTGGGTACCCTCTGGGAATTGTTTTCAGGACCTCTGGTAGCTCCCCAAATCCATAGATATTTAAGTCCCTTCTGAAAGATGTTCTGGTATTCCTGTAGAACCTGCCCACATGTTCCTGCAGACCTCTCATCACCTCTAGATGACTTATATTCCTAATGCCATGTAAATGCTCTGTCACTCGTGGCTACGCTGTATGGTTCAGGGAATAAGGATAAGAAAAAAATACACATTCAGTGCAGACAGAATTTTCTTTCCAAACATTTTCAATCACGGTTGCCCAATTCATTGGGTGCAGGTCCTCGGATACGGAGGAGCCCTGTACTTGCTCAAATGCGAATGTGCTACCGTCCATGGGCTGAGGAGAGACTGAATGTCAAGTCTAACAGATGCACACAGAGGAGTCCTCCTCAGGCCCACGGTGCCCCGTCTGCTTAAAATTAGCCCTCCCTTCTTAATTTGTTCTAACCTCCTTTCCAAAGTCACATTCTCATCTGGTCTTGTCTGTGTCCTGGCTGGGGTGGTGAGGCCACGTGGAGCCCCAGGGAGAGCCCCGTCACTCATTCAAATGGCCCCAAACAGTACATGGGGGTCCTTTCTTGACCTTTTGGCCAGCAGAAAGCAGCCTGTTTATTTGTTAAAGGTCTGGAGCTGAAGGGGTTTCACATCCCCTCCCCCCAGTGCCCAGGTGCTAGGATCCAACCTCAATATCAGATAGAGTCTAGATAGAGTCCAATAAAGCCTTCTGTGTGCGCCGGGGGTCTGCATCTGTGCCACCCCTCACAAGACCGGCTGACCACCTGTCCCCTGAGCACTCGGAAGGCCACTAGTCCAACTAAAGAAATGAAACTTTAATTTGATTTCTTTGTAATTGGTGTTTCATTAGCCACGTGTAGCTAGCGGCTAGCCTACAGGAAAAGACAGGCAAGGGTTCAAAGTGGGGCGAGGGAGGAGGCAGGCACATCTCTCCGGCTTCCTCAGATTCCCTCAGTAAACTCATCTACTACCTCAGCATCAAACATCTTGGTACACATTTTTAAAGACATTTTTAAATTAGATATCCAACCAATCACTTGCTTTAATATATATATGTCTATATATATATATATATATATATATATATATATATATATACTTTTTAAAATTTATTTATTGGTTCTTTTTAGTGATATGTAACAGTAGGGCCTCACTAAGTTGCTGAGGCTGGCTTTGAACTTGCCATCCTCCTGTCTCAGCCTCCCAGGTCTCTGGGATCACAGGCGTGCGCCACCGCTCTCGGTCTGTACTTGTATTTCAAAGAGATCCCACGTGGGATCTGAAGGGAGAGGGCCCAGGAAGCCAGGCCAGAGATGGTTAGCGTGTGCATGGGGACAGACGGGGAAAGGGAGTCCAAGGCCTTCCACTCAACCATACTGCAACCGGGACTGGTCAGACTGGTCAGACTGGTAAGGACTCCTCAGTGCTCAGACTCTGTTTGGGGCACTGGGAAGAAACACCACCAAGTCCCTCCTCTCCTGGAGTCAGCATGATAGTGGGTGTGAGGACGGTGGACACAGCTTGGTGGCCGACTGGAGGACCGGAGGAGAGAAAGGAAGGACTCGGGATGGCTTAGACGGAGACACCAATTTTTAATCTCTGAGAAAAAGACTCTGTGGTCTTGATGGCAGTTCAAGCCATTTTCCTCTGGTTTTCTTTTTTAGCTGATGACTAATGTTCATGGATGAGAGTGACCTCTCCTCTTAAAGATATTTCAGACCCATGAAAATGATAAGTCACCCGGGGCTCCTCTCTTGGACTGCTCCATCTGAAGCCATCTCTCTCAGGGCGGGTGTGGCAGAGAGTGAGGTGGGGGTCACAGGCCTGGCCATCCTCATGCTGTAGGGCACCTCGGGCAGCAAGTCTGCCCAGAATAAAGATGGATGAGGTGGGGGAGGTGGGGTCATGGGAGGTCATGAGCATTAGAGTCAATTCGCAGGGCTCAGAATTGCCCATGGCTTGTATGTATTTGCTAGCCTAGGACCGTGATGCCATTTCCGCGTGCTGAGTACTGCCGGGAACAATGACAATGTGAAAATCCAAACCCTCGTGCCGATAGGAGAATACATCACATCTGCGGCTGAACCGTTCCTTGAATGAGCTGAGCTCTGTTGATGAAAATAATAGCAATTACAGAGACGAGGGAGGGAACCTGCCATCTGCAGCCATCTTTGCGTCTGAGTCATTATCAGGACTGTCATTTACCTGCGTCAGGCAGGAGCTTCTCTCTCCCAACTTGCTGAGGTCCCTCGGCTGCTTTAGGGAGCAGTTGGCAGTTGCCTGAGCTTCGCCAGGAAGGCCTAGTTGCACCCCGAGCCTCTCCCGTGTCCCACCCAGAGGGAGTCTCGCTCGAGCGCCTGGGGATGAGCTGAAACCGCTGCAGGACCACGGGAACCTCTCTCCCTGGGACCAGTGGCACCAGTTCAGTGGCTGGCGGGTGGGCTGCAAGTGGGCTGGGTAGACATTCAGTCCTGTAACACCCCTGAGGGGCCCCAGGGGACAGTTCTGGCTGAAGCTATGTGTTGGCCTCAGTGAGAAGGCACAGTGTGAGAGGTCTGGGGAAAGCAGCAGGAATGGGCTCCTTGGGGGCTTGACCTGGCTAAGGAACCAAGAAGTCAGAGGCAGGCTCGGGATGCTTAGATTCAACTGAGATTCGAATAAGACCGATGGTCAGACGGTATGAGCAGAGCTTTGCCCTTGGTGCATTGAATTAACTAAATATAGTGCTAAATATAAAGAAAGACTATGTTCATTAAAACACCTCAAAGTGAGAGAAGATATTTGCCACACAGGTATCCAGAATAAAAGGCCTAAAATTAAGGTTGCCTGTGATGCTCCTCCTTGACCTCCGGTGACCTTGGCAGGGCCAAACTGCAAGTTTCGTCCCCAGGCTGCCTCAGTGGATAGGGTCCCCCAGCCAAATACCCTCCTTCTCAAGAGGTCTGGGCACGTTCCTGCTCATTTCCAAGTAACAGGCTTCGTTTCCTGTCGGCCTGTGGAATCACTCAAATACACCAATCGTATGCTCCAGGCAGCCGGGGTCACCCACTGTCTGTTACTACAAACCTGCCTCCCCCAGCCCTGCTAGTGCATCTGTTCCCAAGTGCAGCCCCTGTGTGGCCCTGTGTGGTGTGTGGAGTCCTCCACTGAATAGGTGTGACTCGACCTGCTGTCAGTCTCATCCGCCCAGGGTTGGGTGTTGTATGTTCAAACATCCCCACTGCCCTGGGAGAGGGTGAATGAGAGGCCCTTGAAACTGTCCTTCACCAAGGACTATGTCCAGGTCACGGAAAGAGTGCCTGGAAATCGTTAGAAGAAGAGTCCAAAAGTTCAAGAGTAAAATGTCCAAAACAAAATACACGCTGCATAAAGGTATTCCAGCAAGTGATAGATCACACGTGCTATGGTTGTCCCATCAGAATCAGAGGTACCTTTTACCGTCCGTTTTCTCCTTTGGTGTGCACAAATACTTACGGTTGTGTCGCCACTGCCTACAGTATCCACTACAGCTGTGTGTGGCACACGGGTTTGATGCTCAGGGGCAACAGAATGTAGCCTGTTGCCTAGGTGTGTGGGAGGTGATATCGAATCGTGTACCAGTACTGATGGCCAGGACGTTAACTAGTGTAGTGCCCTGATCGCGATGTTCTCACAATGACGAGATCACCTAATGCCACCTTCAGCAGAATGTCTCCCTGTCACGAAGGGAGGCATGACTGTACCTGAGCAGCCACTTTACAGGAGATGACATCCACAGGGCCAGTAAACAGGGAAAGACGCAGTCTCACTAGTAATGAGCTAATTAAAGCTAATTGAAGCTCCATGAGTCGCCTCACACACTAGATTGATAAAACCTAAAAAGCCTGACCGTACCAAGTCTGGTGACGCAATCACCTGGAACTCTGCACCCTGCTGGTGGAGAGAACACTGATGCAATCAATCACTATGGCAATGGTCCAGTTGGGTGAAGTAAAGGTGAGGGAACACCTGCCCCCTCAAGCTGACACGCTGAAAACCAGCAATTCTGCACCTGCTCTGTTCTCAGCACTCCGGGGACATCGAAGAAGCACTGGCCAGGGAGTGCCAACCTGGAACCGAAGCAGGAATTGTAGCACGTCCCTAAAATGGCCCACTGCATTGCAGCCAGAACCAAGGACCCCTACACCAGACAGGGGAAGAAGGATGAATCTCCTAAACAGGGTGAGCACCAGGAGAAACCACAAGGCTATTTCCCAGGATTCCACTTAAGCTAAAGGCAATACAGGCTGAACATCCCTAATCCAAAAGTCCAAATTCTGAAACTTTCCGAGCGCTGACATCATGCCACAAACAGAAAATTCCATGCCATGAAATCTCGCTTTATGCACAAAATTGTTAAAAACGGTGTATCAGGGCTGGGGCTGTAGCTCAGTGGCAGAGAGCTTGCCTAGAATGTGTGAGGCACTGGGTTTAATCCTTAACACCACATAAAAATAGAATAAAGGCATTCTGTCCATCTATAAATACAAAAAATAATTTTAAAAAACGGCATATTAAATTACCTTCAGGCAATGTGTATATAAAACATAAATGTATTATGTTTAGACTTGGGTCCCAATCCCCAAGATTCCTCATTGTGCAAATATTGAGCTAAGTGCTAATGTTCCAAAAAAATGAAAAAAAATCCAAAATCTGATTCCCAGCATTTCCGATAATAGATACTCAACTTCTACTCAATTAAAGCTTAGTGATCAATTAAAAAATTGATGAAGTTACAAAGAAAAACAAGCAAATGACTTTAAAAGTCAGGAAAACAAGCCACGCCCACAGTGGTACATGCCTATAATCCCAGCGGCTCAGGAGGCTGAGGCAGGAGGATCACGAGTTCAAAGCCAGCCTCAGCAAAAGTGAGGCCCTAAGCAACTCAGCGAGACCCTGTCTCTAAATAAAATAAAAATACAAAACCAGGCTGGGGAGGTGGCTCAGTGGTCGGGGACTCCTGAGTTCTATCCCCAGCACCAAAAACAAAAACAAAAACAAAATCAAAAACAAAATTAGAAAAACAGCGGCTTCTCAGTGGAGGTGGGATGTGATAAAAAGTCGAAGACAGGAGCGCCTGTGGTCTCAGCCCTGTTCCATTTCTCAACCTTGGTGATGTTTACCTGTAGGCTTCTGTTCACTTGCCATGTATTGAAACATGAGACATATGCTGTATCCACACGTCTGTATGGACGATCCATGAAAATCAGAATGCATGATTAAAAAGGAATCTAGTGATCTGACTCATGACCCACTTCAAGCTGCAGCCACACCTGTCCACACCCTGCCAGGCCCAGAAGTCACCTCTGACAGAGTGGCCTGGTCCAGCAGGCAAGGGCAGGGTGGGGAGGGCGGGAGGGAGGGGCTGAGGGGTGTGTCCTGGAGAGTGTGTCTCAGGGCCTTGGTCCTGCTGTGCCTTTCCTGGTATCCTAAACCAGGGGCTCTGCCCTTCTGCCGTGGGAACAGGTCCCACTTTGTACTCTAGTCCTACGCTTTCTTCTTGCTGAATGGAGCTTTTACCTGGCAAGTCAGTCCTGTAGGGAAATATTTTTTTTCATCTGTGGATCTTTCCAACTTTCTGAATGCTTGTGCCTTAGAGCATTTCCTTTTGGTGAAATTGGGTTATCTATGCCCACCTTATCTGCTGCAACCAGACTGCTCCCCAATTCTGTCCAAGGCATGTGGCTGGCTCCCCTTGAACCTCTCCTGAAAGTTTGCCATCCCAGAGGCCACCTTTAGCCCTGGGTCCTGCAGAAGCACATCTCTTAGCTCACACTTCTGCTTTGATGGCCTGTGTTAGTTCTAGACGTCAAGGAGGCCACCGGACAGTTCTGACTTTCTCATGACATCATTTTCTGCTTCACATCTTTCTTTTTCTCTGTCAAACTAAAAAAGAACGTTCTAGGATATTTCTCAGGCATGGAAAAAGTTCTGGTTGCTCTTATTTTTATTTGTTTTTTTTTTTTTTTTTTTTTGAGACAAGGTCTTGTTCAGTTGCCCCAGGTTGGCCTTGAACTTGCAAACCTCCTGACTTAACCTCCGAGCAGATGGGATTACTGGGGTAAATAGATTTTCTGGTTGTTCTTCATTCCTGCATCACCAACAGGGGACCATGGGGCAGGATCCCTTGTGTGCCAGCCTGTGCTTATTGTGGCTCTACCTCTCTGGCCGTCCACTGTTTCTTCTCGTATGAACAGGGGCGATGTCCAACTTCATGGGGTTATTGAACAGAGGAGTAAGGAGAGGGAATATGAAGTGGCCCTCACTCTGTGCTGGGCACTGTTCCAAGTACTTTTTACATATCAGCACTTGGAAGTGACTCTTCAAGGTATCTGGTGTATAGTCAGGGCCCAGGTATCGTGTTAGTGGCTAACGATTGAACAGGTGGAATCTCAACTAAAGTGCAAACCCTGAGGGAAGACAACCGCTGGGGACTTTAGAAATGCTGCACGCTCTATGGATAGTCAAAAGCAGGATTTCTCCATTGCAACGGAATCCTTGACACCAGGCAGCCTCAGGGGAGGGCTGGAGGCCTGGTGTAGGCCCCGGGAAGGCGGAGCCCACGGAGCTCTGACTCCCAGACCAGCCAGCTGCACGCCAAGAGGACTTGGGACATGTCCATCCATCCCAGCCCCTGCCCACCCACTTGCAAAGGACAATCCTGGTAAAGACAGGATCAGGAAAGTTGAACGGAAACTGAAGCAAGATGTGGGGGTGCCTATCCCGGTGCTCATCTGCATGGGGCAGGGCGAGGGGAGGTGGCCTGGCTGTCTGGATGGTGGCCTGCGTCTCTATGTAAAGACACTTACTGAGCATTCAGGTGGGCCTGGCATGGACCAGTTGAGTTGGGGGGTCATTTCTGGCCCTTCTAGAGTTAGGAAATAATTCACAAAGGTGTTCCTAAATGACCGCATGATTTCAAGTCAGAATTCCCGTCTTACTTTCTAAGTCCCCTCTGCCATATATAGCAACTGGGTCATTAGATAATTACAAAAGCATAAAGCAGAGCAGTGCAAATCCTGTTCACCCAAACAGCGCTCAGGGCTCTGGGCTCTCCTTGCTGGGTCAGTAAGCAGGTCACGGCTGGTTGTTTCCAGCCAGGGCCTGTCTCTGCCCCCTTGGGTTTTTGCCATTCAAGGCAAAACACAAGATCCCTCCAAAGAGCAGCCCATCTGCCCTTCTCTCCCTGGCCATCCTCAGAGGAACCCACAGAAGCCACACTAAAGGAGCGGGTCGCATCTACCTTCATGGCTTCCAGCTCATCCCTCTCCTCCTGGACCGGGGAGGCAGCCTCACCTCAGCCTCTTTGGGGCTGAGAGGGAGTCCCTTCTGGCACCTCTGGGCCTGTCTGTCACCTCCTGACCTCGGGAAACGGGTACCACACAGAGTGAAACCCACAGGGTTGGATTATGGTGTCCCCAGATGGTATCTGCCCAGAGAAGTCAAAAATGCCTTTCTGGTGTGACACAGTGACCAAAGGAAAAGTGTGCGTGGCAGCTTCGAAGGGCACGTGGTGTCACTGGCAGAGATGATGGGGCAGCAGCTTCTGAGGACCAGAGAGACCCAGGACCAGGTGGAACCCTGGGCCCTCAGCAGAACCGGGCTCATCACCCCCAAGGGGAGGGAAGCTGCCCACAAAGCAGGGCCATGCCGTTCCCTGGGCAGCTGTGGCGGAGAAGCGGGGGACCACGCCCTGTGGGATTCCTCCTGGCCCAGGATCCCCAGGTGGGAACCCAGGGAAAGCTGCATCCCCCCTGCCACATAAACTGGCCACTGTCCACCCATGCTCAGGGGCGAGGAGAAGTCTGGCCGGGGCTCCTTGGGAGAGGAGATGAGAGAGGACATTCCACTGGGGTCTGTCCTGTGTGATCCTCCCGGTGAGCTGACATTCAAGGTCAGGTTCTGAGGGAATAAACAATGGTGTGGCAGGGAGTGGAAGACGGGCCACAGGGCTCTGAGGAGCCCTCGGGGTGCATCCTCTAGTAACCTGGTGGAGGTCTGAGGGTCATTTCATCCTGAGCCACGGGGTTACCAGAGAGCCAGCAAGGCTTGTGCAGAGAGGGGGAAGGGAGGGGAAGAGTGGGAGGGACATCTGTCTGTAGTCACCCCCAAGCCTGGCCATCCCTCTACTCACCAAGGCCTTCCCAGACTCAGGTCCCAGCATATTTGAACCCCCAGGAGTCATCCTGCTCCCCACTACTGTTAAGGGTCACCATGTACTCGCAATCTCAAACCTGTCCCCAGCGAGCCCCCAAGCATGTTCGGGTCTGAGCCATTGGTTGCCCATCCCTCCACCAGTTCTCAGTCACCCGGATGACTCTGAGCTCTGCCGACTGCTGTGATTCTCCTGTTGGTCTGTTTCTGACCAGGGATAAGAACGTGGATGAGCGTCCTCTACCTCAAGCCTGTCCTGGCTGGGATCTTGGTGCCGTGCCTGCTCCCGGGAGACACCAGCCCGCACCTGCCCTGGGTCTGCCCCTGGGACCTTGAGCTTGGCCCGACTTGGTCCTCCAGCACCTGGGCACTCCCTACCTCTCCAGTACCTCTCCTTCTCCCCTCGACCCACACCACGTCCCACCTGAGATCTCAAGGGTTCTCTAGAATAAGGTGACCAGGTACACAGACAAAGGCCACTGAAGCAGACACTCACCGGTAAATGCCCAAGGAGAGGCGTGATACTGTCAGAAACATAGATGATGCTGCCATCTGTTGTCACGGCGATAATGAAGCCATCGAGTGCCTGCGGAAAACGCACATTTGAAAGCTCCTTAGCAATGCTTTAGTGGAGGAACATGTCCCTGAAGCAAAGGGCCATTTTATGACACTGACTTTGCTTTGAAGTCCTTACAGTATTTCCAGGAATCCCCTCCCAGCACTTTCCTACCTTATACACCCGAGGGTTCATTACACAGAGTTTGCTTAGCCCACGGAATGCACTTCTAAAAGCATTTCAGACTCAGTGAAGAAGTTGACCTATTGGTGTCATAAAACCAAATTTAGCCATGGAGACTGCTGAAGTAGTTTAAGGACAGGCACACGATCATTCACATGATTCATTGAGCTGAGTCAGAAATATCATCATCGCCATAGGGAGATGTCGGGAATGCGTCTGGTCCCTGACCCACCAACCCCAGTATCACTTTGAGTTCACCAGGAAACATTTCCTACAAGATTTAAGATGAAATATAGGCCTACAAACAGAAAGTGTGCCTGTTGGCCAAGGTCAACCTCTGCCTTCTCGGCCACAGAAGCCATAGCTTTTCTAAATGTTGGAAAAAAGGCATTCACGTGAAAGTATCTATTAGGTGTCTATTAAATGCCAGGCACACCCTTCTGGGTACTTGTGACCTAACAGGTTTAACGTGGGCAATGTTTTCTTCCACAGCAGACACTTTTGCTGTTCTGTGGAGATTTATTTTAATGTGGATGCTTAGAATGCTTTTGTAAACTCATCTGAGAGTTGACTGATAAGATTCTGATGATATAATTCGGTGCAGAATGGGGTCTAGGTGGCAACTGGATGTCTGAGCGCACCTGCGAGACAGAAAAGATAAGAAGCGAGGCCCAAGCTCACCTCACCAGAAGGTACATCTTGGCAGGAATCATATGCATGTACAGGGGCACTTTGACTGCAAGCCTGTCCTTGTCACTGTGCTGACTGTGTCTTTGAAATACTATCCTCCCCAAGTCTGGGAGATTTTCTGCTTCGGGGGGAAAAAGTGGCATAGGCGCTCAGAAAGGTCTGGAAACCTGACCTACGGCTCCAACCAGATCCTCCCAGCGTGCTCCTGAGGGTCTGCCTGGCCCAAAGGGTATTCACTCTTTGATGTTACGAGGGTGAGCCCAAGAGTGAGAGACCAGAACCGGGAACAGGCCCCTCCCTCCAAGAAAGGAGCCAACGGAAGGGGAAAGGGGGCTCTTTCACAGGAAAACTGACAACTGACGCCGGGCTCCCTTGTTATTTCGCAAGAGTGTGTGACAAACTTTAAGACCAAAAAAAAAAATATATATATATATATATGAGAGCACACTTCTTCAAGGAATCTCATCCTTTCTGATTCCATCAGTGGTTCTCAACTGGGGGTGGACACCTGGAAATGTCTGGAGATATCTCGGGGCTGTCATTATGGAGTGGGTGACGCTGGCATCCAGTGGGGGGGAGGTCAAGGATGCCACAGAGCATCCTATAGACAAAGCACAGCTCCCACAACCCAGAAGCATCAGATCCAAAATGTCAATCATGCCGAGGTGGAGAAACTCCCCATTAGACGGATGGGTCACCGGGAATAAAAAAGTACATCCCCTAAGTTTTATTTCTTTCCCCTCAGTTATTTGTCTAAATGGCTTTTCTTTTCTTTTTAAATTTGTTAAAATAGTTTTTATTAACTTAATTTATATTTTTACATAAAAATGAAATTGTACATATATATGAGATGTGAAGTGATGTTTCAGTGTACACTGTGTAATGTTTAAACCAGGTTAAGCCTATCTGTCCCCTTGAACATTTATTAATTCTTTGGGTTTTTTGTTGCTGTTGTTGGTTTCTTTTTCTTTTCTTTCTTTCTTTTTTTTTTTTTTTTTAGTAGAGGGTATTGAACCCAAGGGTGCTTAACCACTTAGCCACGTCCCCAGCTCTTCTTATTTTTTGAGACAGGGTCTTGCTAAGTTGCTTAGGGCCTTGATAAATTTCTGAGGCTAGCCTTGAACTTGAGATCCTCCTGTCTCAGCCTTCCAAGCTGCTGGAATTATAGGCATGGGCCATCATGCCTGGCTTATTCTTTTTAAAAATTTTTAAAATTTGTTTCAATTAGTTATTCATGACAATAGAAAGCATTTATGCACTTTGATATATCATACATAGATGGGATATAATTTCTCATTTTTCTGAGTGTACATGTTGCAGAATCCTATTGGTCACATATATACATACAGTAATAACGTTTGTTTCATTCTACTATCTTTCCTACCCCCACATTCCCCTCCCCTCCCCTTCCTTCACTTCCCTCTACCTAATCTACCTAATCTTCCCTAGTGCCTCTCCCCACACTTATTGTGAATTAGCATCAGCATATTAGAGAAAACACACGGCTTTTGGTTTTGTGGGGTGGACTTATTTCACTTAGCATGATATTCTCCAACTCCAACCATTGACTGGAAAATGCCATAATTTACTCTTCTTTAAAGCTGAGTAATATTCCATTGAATATATATACCACATTTTCTTTATCCATTCATCTATTGAGGGACATCTAGGTTGGTTCCATAGTTTAGCTATTGTGAATTGAGCTGCTATAAACATTGACATGGCTACATTACTGTAGTATGCTGATTTTAAGTCCATTGGGTATAAACCAAGGAGTAGGATAACTGGGTCACATAGTGGTTCCATTCCCAATTTTCTGAGGAATCTCCACACTGCTTTCCATAGTGGTTGCACCAATTTGCAGTCCCAGCAGCAACGTAGGAGTATACCTTTCTCCCCACATCCTCGCCAACAGTTATTGTATTCTTGACGATTGCCATTCTGACAGGAGTGAGATGAAATCTTAGTGTAGTTTTGATTTGCATTTCTCTAATTGCTAGAGATGTTGAACACTTTTTCATATATTTGTTGATCAGTTGTATTTCTTCTTCTTTATGGTGAAAACATTCAAAATCCTTTCTTCTAGCTTTTTGAAATACACAGTACATTATTATTACCTACCACCACCCTACTGTGCAAGAGCACAGCTGACTGTAAGTGTGCACCCATTGATCCACCCTCCCCATTCTCCTTCCCTCCACTCTCCTCAGCCTCTAGTAACCGCCATGCCATCCCTGACTCTTTGCAGACCTCCTGAAGTGAAACGTTTTTCAAAGAGTCGGGGCCATTGTTGATAACCACAGCTGGACCTTTCTGGAGAAAAAGCAGACCAGAAGGCTGGCCAAGGGAGGGGCTGCACAAACAATGTTTCTGCACAGTGAGCCCATGTCCCTCTTGGGTGTTAAAAAGCAGAAGGTATTTATGGACGGGGGATCACCTTCATCAGCTCCTGGGCATTTCCCATCAAATCTACAAGAACAGCATGAGTCACTGTCACCGCAATGAGAATGTTTGCCACGGCTTGGGAAGTCCTACTACTGAGGCGATTCAATAGCAAGTGACCGCACAGTGGTGTGCACCTGTCAGGTAAAGGTGATTCTCACAGGGACATGATGCAAAGGGCCCAGACTTTTATACCTGAGACACACCAGAGAGAAAGGAAACCACCTCTTTCTGCTAGCTCCTAAATCTGATGGAACATTCCCTAAGTTCTCTGGGACAGCCTCGGGGCGAAGAGAAAAGATGCAGCTCTTCCGGTCCGTTTTGGATCTTTCAAACTTCTCCACTGTGAGAGTCCTCCCGGAGCCTGGCTGTGTGCCTTTTGAAAAGAAGGCAGGAGAAAAGAGGGATTCACAACCAGAAGGCACCTGGGGGCATGGCAGTTTCTCTCCTAGATTCTGTCCTCAGTGGGGGGAAAAAAAAATGGAAAAGGGATCAAGCCTGGAAGCCTGGATTCCTCATGTCTCCAAAAAGAGCAGAGGGTTGTGCATCTGGAGAGAGATCCGCTCAGTGAAGCAGCTGCCCAGTGGGAAATGAGGACGTCACCCACGAGGGGATCCACTGCAGGGCCGGGAGCTCAGGACACCAGGAAGCGGAAGGTGGAAGACAGAGTAGCAGGTTGGAGTAGAAGCCGGACCCAGGCAGAGATAAATCAGAAGCGCTTGATTGTGGCCTCCTGCCCTGGAGAAGGCTCTGGTTACGCGGGCTGGATTGCAGAACCTTTTGCTACTGTGTCTTCCTTTCCATCCACTCCGGGGAGTCTACGGTCTGTCCTGGGAGCAGGTGCATTAAGTGCATAAAGACTACCTGTCCCCATGTAAAATCTTTTCCTAGAAATTCCAGTCTCTTTGACTTTAATCCTGCATTGCAGACCCTATTTATTTATTTTTAACTTAATACAAACCTTGTTGTCTCAAATTCTTTCGACACCTTGAAACTCACTGGAAAAAGCAAAACGACGTTTGTGCTACAGACTCTTAAAAAAGTGGCTGATGCAAGAGGGTTCTTCTGTTTTAACGACTTTTCCATAAGAATTAAGAGATAAATCGATGTATGTAAAGTAGCATAATGACACATTAATTCAACATTATATTTCACAAGTTGCTTTAAATTTAACATACTTAAAATGCATTGCTTCTGTAGAAAGTTCTGTATTTTCTTTAAATATAGTTCCCATGTAGAGTTAAGTATCTTTCGTTTTAGGCAAATGTTCATTAATGCTTTCATATTTCATAATATTTGGACATCTTTATTCTGGCATTTTCTTATTCCAGTACTTTCTGTTTTCTGCATAGCTAATCTATGTAAATTCAAGTTTATCGGTCTTATATAGGCACACAGATGAGATAAAGAAAGATTTATTCCCAAGAAGCCACTTTCCGAAAACCCTGCCAGGAACCACATGCGGGCACAGGGCCAGGGACGAACTTCCTTTCGCTGAACTTGCCTGTCCTCTTTCTCCTGGGTCAAGGGCCTGGAGAGACCACGTCGGAGGTCTTCTCTGCCTTGGTGGCCATATTTGTGTGTTCTCAGTCTTCTCCCTCCGGAGGCTGGAAGTCACGCACGGTGCCAGGCGCTTTGTAGAGTCCCATCTCGTGGGTCCCGTGGACTTTCACCCATACATCAATACACATAGGTGCAGAGGGACACCCAGCTTGGCCAGGTTGGCACAAACAGCCCTGCAGGTGAACCGGCCCCCAGTCCCAAGGAAGGAATGTGGGCATCTTAGCACAGCGAGGGTGTGGGTTGGGTGGAAAGCGCAGGGACACTGTGGTTGACATAGACATGCCACCCTGTGTCATAGGAGCTCAAGGGAAAAGCATAACACATTAAAAGAAGAATTTAATTTGCCAAGTGTTTCTACTAAGGGAAAAAAAAAAAACCCGCACCATCATTGCATTTTAGAGAAAAGACCCTCTGAGTCCAATGATAGATGCCAGATGTTGTGATCTTCCCTCTCTCCTTCCCTTCTCTCCCTACCCCCAACCCCGCCCCCTGCACTGGGTGAGGGGACCCGCCCTACAGGCACCGTGGGATAGGACACAGACACATTCATTTTGGAAATTCTTGCTTATTTTGCCCAACTCAGTAGCCAAAACATAAAGCAAAACAGGCTGAGGCCCAGGACAGTATCTATCTCAAGACCTCTTTCCAGGGTCAGGAAGAGCTGTCTTCTTGGGGTAGAGGGGCTTAGCAGGAACGGGTAGTTTAAGCTGCAACAGATTAAGCTAATTTGAAAGTGCATTTCACCTCCAACATCAGCTGAGTGAATTCTTCATTACTGAGGAATGAAGGCTTCCAGTCTTGCTGGATGTCACAGATTTCCGTTTGTGCTGAGACTTCTAAAAAACACACACATACACACACAGATAAGCTTTTAGGTTCACCGGCACCCAGAAATTGGAATTCACAAATGAAACACATTGTTATTTCTATGTCATTTTGGGTAAATTTCTTTATGATTTAATTTAAACAGCAAATACCAGGAAATACGATTTACAAGGACTGGGAACTTAGATGTTAGGGGCCATTAGGTCGTTGCTGCCTACCAGTGCAAGGGGACTGGATGGTGGCCCACCTCCTGAAGCTGCTTTCTTGTGGTCAAGGCAAAACACACAGTCCAGAGAGCTGGGATTTTTAAAATTTCAAGGGTGGGTACAGCATGCTTTGCCCGTGTGAAGACCTGGGTTTGATCCCCAGCACCACAAACACAACAAAACATTCAATAAAATAACAAAAACAACCACAAATGACCCCCACAAATTTCTGGAAGGATCTTGGGCTGATAGTAAATAACCCACAGTGTTATACAGAAGATGACAGATTTTTCAGCATTGCTCTTGCTGAACTGTACTGTGCCACACACATGCACATTACTTAGTCGCTTTTAAGGCCTGAAATTATTCTTTTCAAAATCTTTTTGTCTTCATCTATAGTCTACCCATCTCAGGTAACTATCTTGCACTGAAGGCTTTATTCACATTTGTCAACCCACAATCATTGATGCACACAGGACTCCTTAAATATTCTAGCTTTCTAAAATACTTTTGAAAAAAAAATGGCTCGTTCTATTATTAAATGATCTCTGATAAGCCTATCATAGAGCAAATGTGATATTATATCTGTTTGCTTTTCTTTCCATTTATTCAACATCTTTTTTTTTGGCGGGTGGGGGGTACCAGGGATTGAAGTCAGGGGCACTTGGCCACTGAACCACATCCCCAGCCCTTATTTTGTATTTTATTTAGAGACAGGGTCTCACTGAGTTGCTGAGTGCCTCACTGTTGTTGAGGCTGGCTTTGAACTCAGGATCCTCGTGCTTCAGCCTCCCGAGCTGCTGGGATTACAGGTCTGCATCACCATTAAATATCTCGAACCAACATTTTATGTGGCATGAAGTCTCTTTAGAGATTATTTGTGTGTGTGTGTGTGTGTGTGTGTGTGTGTGTGTGTTTAGAAAAGTATAAAAAAGGATTCTCAGACCTCCCGAGAATAAAACGAACCTGTTGAACAACTTCCTGGACAATGCAATTGTTCAGGCAGATAATCTCTCCACTGTTAATTAGGAAAGATTTCAAGGTTCTCTCTTTTGCACTTTTTTCCTTTTTTCAGTGCTTGGGAGTGAATCAGGGCCTTGCACATGCTAATCACATGCTCTGCTTCGGAGCTAGGTCCCCTGCCCCTGCATCTATGTTTTTGGAAATCTCTCTTGCTTGGAGAATTGGGAATGGATTCTGTCATCTGAATGAATGAACCTGAATGAATTACAGCAGTTACTCACAAACAAGGAGCATGCGAAGGGCTGAGTTACACATGAGACTCTTGGGAGGGTCAGTGTGCCTGCACCTCACAGTGCTGGGTGCCATGATGAATGAGGTAGGTGGCATTCTGGAAATCAGAGGCAGGGAACTATACAGAAATCTTGGCCAGAGTTTGTCCTGGGGTGTCAGCCAAGGCAAGGGAGAGAACTGAAGCCTGTAGGTCTTCACACAGATGAACGCCACAGTTTGAACACTTATAAGACTAGGACCCCCAACATGCCCACTCCCTTCTCCCCGAGAATCTAAAAACCTTTTCTGACCACCGGGATCAAACTGTAGATTGAATGGAGAAGAGTCTTTCTGGCAGCCCTGATTTTATATAGACAGAGGATCATAATGTAATGGTGAAGGAAAAGAAAAGACCCTTGGCTTTATACATAGGAAATCTTCAGATCGTCTCATAAGACTGGATATTTTCTCGACACCAGCATAATAAAACTGAAAGTAGCCATTTCACTCACTTTGTTATCTCAACTATTTGATTATAGTCCTTGAGAGTTAAGGCTTGATTCATAGCATATTTTTTTTAAAAAAAACACACACACATAAATTACGTAAGATTCCTCAAAGCGACTAAAAAATTGTTATACTGGGCAATAGAACTCAGGGCTCAAATCCTGTCTCCAGTGACTCTTAAGATGACCAATATCAGAAGCTGCAGGTGGTGGGGCAGGATTAGCCAAGGGTATGATCAAAGTGTTTCAAAACAGAGAGGGGAAGCAAAACTCTTCAGGGGGCCATTTTTATAGGAAAACTTTGTGATGAACAGCTAGGTCTCCAAATTCTACTCTGGTTATAACTTGCAGTGAGAGAATGTGCTCCTCCCAATGATTGCCTGGATGTCAGAATAAAGAACAGTAATTCTTTGTTCTGTGTGTGGTCAAAGAAAAGTCTGGAAAATGGGGCAGTAACCCAACTGCAGGGGTGGGTCAATATCACTCTGCCCAAGGGACATTTCTCCTTGTTGTACAGCCTTCCTCAACCACCCCAGCCTGCCCCTATGCATGAAGGCAGGGACTCGGGAGATTCAAGGAACAGGAGTTGGGACAAAATCAGCTCGGGACTCACACAGGAAGAGGATGAGGCCTGGGCCAGCCTGGCCCTGCAGAACGGGCATCCAGATGGAGGGCAATAAGGATAAACAACAGCCCCTGTTCATCACATGATTTAGGGTTTTCTCTATTTATGAGAGATGCCATTGACACAAAATCTCCATACAAAGAAACATGGTCCAATTCTTTGGATTTGGATCACTTCAAAAAGAATAAATGTGCATTCCGGGATCAAGGTTTATTTCCCAAGTTGAGAAATTGGGACTGCTTGAGATGATGACAGCAACTCCCTGGACCTCATCATCTCCCCTCACTTGCCCTGTGCTCTCCCTTGAGCCAGAAGGCAGAAAGCGTGTCTGAATCCACCCTTCTCAGGGCCGTCTGCACACTAGAATAACACAGGAAGCTCTAAAGATACTTAATGCCCTGAGTCTTCCCCAGCACTGCGATGGTGGAAGGCTTCCCACCCGCAAGAAAAATGCCAGATCTGGGAGGTCTGCCCATTTCTGTGTAAATATTCCTACGGACGCTGATGTCAATGACCAACTTGAGGTCCGCTGGTTTGCAAAACTCCTGAAAATTTAGCAATCCTCTCTTAAAGCACAAGTTGGCTTTAGCACACAGCCAGAGAGTCTGAGGTCCTGAGCTGCGGACGCCATGGACACATTCATGAACAGCTACAGTGCAGCTATCATGGAAATCAGTCCAAGAGCCCCACACGTCAGCCCTGGCGGAGAAACTGCAGAAACTGGTGTTAAAGACAGGGCTCTGCAGATGGGCTGTTGGGTTTGGATTCCACATGTCACTGGCTGTCTGACTTGGATGAGTGACTTACCCTCATGGGCCTCGGTGGCTTCGTTTGTGCCACGGGACAAGCTCAGTGCTCTTGTGAGGCTTAGAGAGGTGACCTCCCGCAGAGCCCCTGGCCCAGTGGGTGGCTCCCAGGGAGCCCTGGAGAAATGCCAAGATCATGCTTCTCCACCCTGTTGCCTGTGCCTGTGGAAGCCAGGTCTATGTGGATGATACAGAAGGCGACTGGCATTTGGTTTTTTTTTTTTTTTTTTTTTTGCTTTAAACCAAATTTTGGTCCAGTAACTCTATTTCTGCACAAAATCTGCTGTGGATTTTTTTTGTTTTCTTTTTTGCTTTCTTTTTGAATATGAATGAATCACAGAGACAAGTGAGATCCTGGAGTGATCATTTAAGTAGGAGCAGGCCTTCGTCTTATGAAAAAAAAAAAAAAAAAGTGAGAGTAGACAGGCACTTCCCGGGTGAGGAGCCTGCCTTTCTGCAGACCTGTCCTTCCAGGGCCCAGATTGAACCGTTCCGTAATTCCACCGAGGACGGAGCCCCGCATGACTGTTACACTGATGAACTTGATCCCAGCTGTCCTATTTAACAGCTGTCCTGCTTCTCAGTGGCACTGACCTAGTTTGAGTAATTTGTACAAAATATCTTGGCATCAAAACAACTTGCTATTTCACTTGGCTAAACCATTATTTAGGAAATATAACCATTCTGATTAAATTATCGGGGCAATTGAAGACTGCTAGAACACTCCATTCTAATCCTGCTTGATTGATCTCCCCTGACTTTTCACAAAAGCAATTAACATGTTCTTTGCTTCCCCCTGGGCAGTTTCAAAAAAAAAAAAAAAACACCATGAGGGGATAGATCATCACTGTCACGTTTTTAACAAATAATTATCAAGGAAATCATCAAAGAATAACAAGGACAATGAAACTTTCCGATGTCCCCGCCATGCCCTCTTCCAGGAAATCATCTTGTCTAACAAAAGGTTCAGTGGGAGAGGAACATTCCTTCAAGCACAGGACTGTAATTACTTCCTCAATGATTCTGACATTTTTGACTTTATTATGTTTGGTGTCATGGTTAAAGCAAAAAAGAATTCTGCTCCCCTGGCTTGCGAAGACCTACCAAACCATCTCAACTATTGTATGACTTTTTTTTTGGGGGGGGGGTCCTATCCAAGGTGAGTGGCAGGTAGGCGTGACCAGGTGTAAGGGGTGAAAGGGTTTGAGGGACAGTCAAAGAGGATGATAGGAAGGAGACACAGGCCCAAGCGTGGCTTCCAGGGGTAACTTCGTGTTCTCTACAGTGAAAATAAACTCGCGAGACACTGGAAGACGATGAGAAAAACCGCAGAAGCTTTATGTACCTGACTCATGATTCCATAGGAATAAGATCCCAAGAGGCAAAGCTGACCTCCGACAGAGGAACTTCAAACAGGTTCCATTTGGGGAAAGCAGAGGTGGGCGGTGAGGGGCAGCCACTGGGCAGCTTCTCTCTCTTGACCTTTGAGACTTGCCTGCTCCGGGGATTTCTAATGAAGATGTACCCACTGGGAAGCCACCCCCTGGGGCTGGGTGCCACCGTCAGGCTGCACTGGGATCTGTCCTCTGGCGGATGACGCAATCTGGGAGGTGAGACCTCTCCTAACTTGCTGGTCAGGGAAGCCTGTGCCTGGTGGGGTGGCCTATGCTGGGAGTGACAGCTCATCCTACACAGAAGGACCTGCCTGCTGAGGTCATCACCCCCCCCCCCCAAAAGGCCGAGGCGGGGGAAAAAGAACAGAGAGAAGCACAACCTTTACCATTGTGTTTCTGCAGAAACCCGATGACCTTTTCCAGCACCGTGGTCTTGTCCATTTTCCGAGTGTGGCCAGGAAGCATGGAGCTGAGCTCTTTGATGAGAACATTGAACTGGTCCCGACGTTTCTTCTCAGACTTGTTTCGAGAGGCTCTGGAAACACCACAAGGCACGGGTTACCAGAACGTTCCACCGCACGGAGGCTGATGAAACGGGAGGACGGTCTATCAGATCGTCCCATCCCCAAACTCCTTCGGGAAGGTCTCCCGAGCCACATTTCAGAGCTGAGTAATGGGGAGAGAAAACTGTTTTGCTAGACTCTTGGCTACAAAGAGAGACAGTGTTCATCATAAGTAAGCTCTGACTCACGTCCCCAACCTACCCCACCAGCGCAGGGCCACAGGCTGCCGGGCTGGCCTCACAGGGCCCCCGGATTCGCAGGGCGAGCCAGGCACCGTTTGCCTGGACGGCGGCTGCTGGGGAAACTCACTCTGAGAGCCCTTCTTCAGCTGGAGCTCTGTCCCCTCCAACCCAGAGGACCCGTCCTGGTGCCAAGTCAGGCGGGGTGGCCAGGCGTCCCAAGCGGACCACCCAGGACACACATCCCGGTTCCTGTTGGAGAGACAGGGTTTGCCTGATGGTGCGTGAGCCGTGACCCAGCGCCCGCCCACGACTGGCACTGAGTGTGGCTGGCATGCCGCTGCGAGCAGACCCCTGTTTAAAGGGACGCCGAGGAGATTCAGAGGCACATCACCAAGTCCAAGGAGCTCGTCTCCAAAAGCCCCCGAGTGTGGGATTCCAGCTCTATGACCTTCTGCAAAAGGCAGAACTATGACGACAGGGAAATGCTCAGCCGTGGCCGCGGGTCTCAGGGAGGGATGAGTACCCAGAGCACAGAGGATTCTTAGGGCAGCGAAACTCCCCTGTACGAGATTGCAGCCGTGGGCCCCTGCCACCTAGCACCTGTCCTCAACCCACAGAACCTACCACACCGAGAGCTGACCCTCCATGAACTACCGACTTTGGGGGGTTAGGAGGCGTCAACCGYGTTCATCAAGTCAAAACCACCCACTTCGGCGGGTGGGGGGTCAACAGTGGGGGGGCGGGGGCTCCGGGAGCTCTCCGTGTCTTTCATTCACTTTTGCGGTGCAACCTCAAACTACTCCAAGAGATGAGATCTACTTAAATAACAGGACAGTGCACCCTGGAACACCTAGAGAAGAGGTGACAGAGAAGTGGGCTCGTTTTGGGGGGGAGGAGGGGACTTCGCTGACCCACCAAGCCACCTGAAGAATCCTAACCGCCACACAAATCAGAACAGGGATCAGGGCTCTGGGGCTGTTCCCTCCACCAAAAAAAAAGACCTTGGACCAATGAGTACCCCATGGGGAAGACCTTCCCCTGCGGGAGCTGGCAATAGTGCTGCTGGAGGGTCTTGATCCTCAGCAACTCACCAAAGCCCCTCCCTGAACTGTCCAAGTGTTCTGGAGCCATCTGGAGCTGGGAGAGCTGCCCCCCACCCCTCCCAGGTGTACCCCAGACAGAAAGCGGACGGAGAAGCTGTTGTGCCTGGTACACCTGCTGACCCAGACACTCCCAGGCCTGGGGTCAAGGTTCCTGGGTTGGGGGGGGCAGCTCATCTCTCACCAGCAGGCTCCTCAAACGGCCACGCAGACAGACACAGGACACATCCCCAAGGTCCTTTCCCTAGGTGCCACCATGGCCACACCCAGGGCTTCCCCTGCTTACACCCTTCAGCCTGACTTGGTTTCAACACTGTTGACCACTCACCCTACCCGGATTCTGTCTCCACCTGGGCTCTTTCCTGCTCATACCTGAGCCATCTTCAAAGCCCACCACCTCGAGGGCACGTGGCCACGGGTCTTCCCCTCCTTCCTGTCGTTGTTGGCTTGAGGACTCAGGGGCTGCTACACAGGTCTCACCCTCTGTCTTTCTGTGGGCCCTCTCCTATCCCAGACGGGTGGCAGGAAGATGCCCACATACCTCAGTGATGGTTCAGGGTAAAAGGCAGCGAGTTCAAACAGAGGGAGGAGAAGAAAGGAACCCTTTCACTTTCTGAGTGACTGTCTATGCATTATAAATAATTTTTTGGCCTAGATTTTAAAGAATGACATGCAACTTTCTTAGCCCAAAAAAAGCTCCGTTCCTGTCCTAGTTTGCCCATTATAAATTATTTGCGAGCCGACGACACCCGGCTCATTACCGCTCTGTTCTCTTCTTCAATGGGTGCAGTGACGGCGAACGTGGCCTGGCAGGGAATCCGATGAAGGCTCCTATCATTAGTGACAGAGACACAAGCTCCTTTCCCTCAGCCTCTGCCTGGGACACACTGTCACCCCCTGGAAATTGGTGAGTGTCAGCTGGATCCCCCGCTCCGAGGCCAGAGAAACCCAGGTGCCTGGGTTGTACCTGCTTCCAATTAGGAGCTCTCTCACACCCAGGCCCCGGGGGGCCACAGGTTGAAAGACCTGCAACAGCTGGCCTCTGGAATTTTTTTTTTTTTTTTTATTATTTGTGATCCATAAAATTCATCCACTTTAAGCGCACAGTTTGATGAACTGGGGGAATTGTGCAACTGCCAGCAAGCCAAGCTATACAATTCTCCATCCTGAAAAGCACTTGATGATTGTTTACTTCCCCCAACCCCAGACGGTGTACAGTGTGTGATCTTCATTTAGCATAGTTTTTGAGGCTGATTCACGTTGCTGCACGTATTGATATTTCATTCCCTTTTCTGCCCACCAGGATTCCATCTGGGTCTGAATATGCGGTAACGTTTGGGCTGTTGGCAGTTTGGAGGTGTGAAGCATAATGCTGTTCTGAGTATTTGGGTACAGAGGCTTGAACCTGCAGAGTCATCCGGTTAATGACTGTTTGACTTATAACACACTGCCTCACCTTTCCACCATGTTGGCTGCACCCTTGGTCCCAGGTGCTACAATCATTGCCAACACTTGGGATTGGCAGTTATTTATTTATTTTTTTTAATTTTACCTTAGCCACCAAAGTGTCATTGTTGCTGTTCGCTTTGTTTTTGCAGTGCAGGGGGCGGAAAGCCAGGAGCTTGAACACCCTAGACACAAGCTCTATCATTGAGCTCCACACCAAGAGTAGCTTATTGCAGTTTGAATTTTACCTTTATTGGATTTCCCTTTTTCTGATGACTAGTGATGATGAACTTATCTATCTATCTACCTACCCACCTATTTATCTACTCATTCATTTATTTAGCTATATGTGGCACGGAGGATGGAATCCAGTGCCTTTCGTATGCTAGGCAAGCGCTCAAAAGTAGGGCTCAAAAGGCCACAGGTTATCTTTTCTATAGTGTTCACCTCTGGACATCTTGGGAAGCTGGGGTTACATAGCTACCATTTTCTGGGTACTTCTGTGGTGCTTCACATACAGTCACATGCCACAGGATAACACTGTGGTCAACAATAGATGGAATAGACAAGAGTCCCACAAGGTTCAATTGAGGCTGAAAATCCCTATTGCCTAGTGACATTGTAAAATCATAGCCCAACACGTCATTCCCTCCCGGGGCAACGCTGGTGTACACACACCTGCAGCACATGACACTAGACTATGATAACAAGTGGCTATTTATTGATGTATGTATTTCCTGTTCTGTACCTTTGATCATCCTCATAGAGTGCATTCTCAGACAAGGACACATGGGCACAAGTGACCAGTGTCAGATCCCAGGTGGGCAAAGGAGTCAGAGTAGAACCTGCCATGTTCATCTCCTACCTTGGAAACCAGACAGGTAAAGCTTCTCTCAGTGTGAGGACATTTAATAGCAGGGACCCCTGTAACCCTATGACAAACAGGTAGGGTTTGCTAAGATTTGACCACTGAGCCACATCCCCAGCCCTTTTTTGTATTGTACTTAGAGACAGAGCCTCGCTGAGTTGCTTAGGGCCTCACTTTTGTTGAGGCTGGCTTTGAATTCCTGATCCTCGGGCCTCAGCCTCCTGAGCTGCTGGGATTATAGGTGTGAGCACTGTGCCTGGCTCACTGTGTCTATTGACCGTATTGTTTTCTCATGCTTGATTTTTTTTCCATGTTGTTTACTCATGGTGGCCCCAGGAGCATCCACTATACCACATCTCTATGTATGTATCTATGTATACACCGACAGTGGTGGGGCAGAGGAGGCCGCACCATCCAGGTTTGTTAGTACACTCTGTGAGGTACACACAGCAACAAAATCACCCCGACGCATGGCTCCGAGCCCACATTGCTCCTTAAGCTATGCATGCCTGTATTAATTTCTTTCATCCGAGCCAGATAGGCAGTGTTCTGGGAGCCCAGAGCCCAGAGCGGCTAATTCTGGCTGCCTGAACTCCTAGCCCAGAAACACACACCCTGCCCCCAATGGTGCTGCTCACAAACAGGTAGAGGGTGTCGGTGCTCCCCGCTGGGGAAGGAGGTAGCAGGAAATGAGCACAAGTGGCTGGTGTCAGATCCCAGGTGGGCACAAGGAGTCAGAGTAGAACCTGCCACGTTGGTCTCCCACCTTGGCAACCAGACAGGTTATTATTAACATTGTCACTGTGCTGGGCGCTAGGTCTCAGAGATTGACTCCTCTTTTCTAACTGAAACCCCATCTCTTTTGACTAATATCTCCCATCCCACAACACCCCCACTATGGTTTGGATATCATTTGTCCCTCAGTAGCTGATGGGCTGGAAGCTGGTCCCCAGTGCAATCATACTGAGGGGTGGTTGAACCTTTAAGAGGCGGAGCCTAGGGGGTGATAGACAGGTCATGGGCGGGGTGGGGTGGGGACTAACCCAGGAAGGGATTAACACCTGGCGTGGGAGTGGATACGTTACCAACAGAAGAGGTTGTGTCAGGTGAGTTTGGCCCTCCTGGCCCACTCTCTTGCTTCATCTCTGATCACGTGACCCCTCTCTCCCGTGCACATACTCTGCTACGTGATACCGTCCACCAGGAGGCCATCATCAGAGCTCAGGGCCATCCTCTTGGACCTCCAGAATTGTTAGCCCAGCAAACGTCTTCTATTTTTTAAAGTACCCAGCCTCAGGTGTTTTATTATAGCAAAATGGACTCAAGAACCCCCCTACAGAGACAACTGATATATTTGATAGAAGGGTTCCCCAGAA